TAAAGAAAAATACCACATGATCTCATTTTTATGTGGCATCTAAAAAAGATGATCTCACAGAAGGAGAGAGAGAGAGAGAGAGAGAGAGAGAGAGACAGGCTGAGAAGGGGAGGGGAGAGGGAGAAAGGGCAAGAGTTTGGTCAACGGGTCCCAGTTACAGTTAGATAGGCAACTCAAACCATGGTAGTTGGCAGGACGGTTCTGTCCCATGTAGGGGCTAAGGGACCGAGGCTGATGCAGGTCTTCCGTCTGGAATGTCATGTGTTTCTGGAGCTGGGAAAGATAGAGATTGAAGAATCGTGCATGACTTTTCACTAAGACTGAAAAAGCAATAACACAGTGGTTACGCTTACATTTCAGTAGCCAGAACTGTCCCATGTCCCCAAGTTCCCTACAGCAGTGTGGGAGAAGCAAGGGAGCAAGTGGAACATATGGTGAGTGTTTTGCCTCTGCCAGAAGAAGATTAGAAGGTGAAAAATATCTATATACAGAAATCTATTGCATGTCTATTAGAGAAAACAGTAGAAATGATACTATTTACAAAAGCATCTAAAATGTAAAGATTTTGGAATAAGCCTGAGAAAAATGAGTTGAACGCCCGAATTTCTGCTACTGCATTTCCACTTCCTACGAGTGGAAATTTTCTCAATGATCTCCCCATACGAATTCATCATAACACTCCCACTCCTTCACAACACCCCAATTCTCCCAATAGCACCCTAACTTCCCTTATTGCAAACTGATTCCTCCGCCGCACGTCTCCATTCCTCCGTGAACACCGCAGTTCCCTGGTCCTTACTCTAATTCCTCCAGTGATGTCCCTAAACCCCTTCCTCTCTCCCCGCTCCCCTCCTACTCCAGGGTTACTATGGCAACGCCTACGTTTAAATTCCCCTCCAACAAGCTGAGCAGCCCTGTTACCACAGAGACCAGAGCAGATTCCCCGCCCCCCTCGCCCGGAGATGGCAGCTCTGCGGCCCAGACGCCTCGGACTGGAAAAGTCGAGGAGACCCCATAATGCTCAGCGCATAAACAGTCCTCCGCACCCCTCTCCACAACCCTACTGAACACCCTCAAGCGCGCACATGCTCAGATGGAGCTCTGGGCCAGCAAATTCTACTGCGCAGGCGCTCACGCTCTGCAAAGGGACTTGGGCACGAAAGCGCGGGCGGCGCTCAGCCTGCTGGGAGTTGTAGTTTTCTGGCTGCTACAACAGGAGGTACAAGAGACTGACCAAATGGGCGTGCCCCATAGGGGTTACAATAAGGTTACTGAAGCTGGCATATTGGAGCTGGCTCTATCATCACCATAGCAACGATGAAGCATAGTGAAGCTATGCTACTACCCTACTACCCAGTCCGCCATTTTTATTCTTTCATCTTTTTAACTCAGAGCTTACTTTGCACCAGGTACTGTTCTAGGCCCTGGGAATACAATGATAATCAAAATAGAGCTCATATTCCGGTGCGCAGAGATTGACGAAATAACAGTGAACACATGTCACTGGAGAAAACAATATGTTAATAAGTAATTCAGATGCTTTATGCAGGCAATGTTAGAATATTGGTACACACACTACTTCATTTATCCTCACAAAGCCCTGTGAGATGGATACTTTTATTACACCCAAACTAGAACATAGGTTAAACAACTACAGGTCACACAGCAAAGAAGGAGTGAAGCTGGGGTTTGAACCTAGGCAGTCTGGCTTCATATTTGATAAGCTTAACCACAATGATAAGTTGGCAAATATTAGGGTGCATAATTTCAGGTAGTGATAAGTGTGTGAAGACTAAACAGAGAAAAGGGATGGGGTGACTCTGTAGAGCGACTGCTCAGGGATGGCCTTTAGGAGGAGGTGGCATTTGAGCAGAGGCCTGAAGGGATTCATGTTAATTGTGATCTGGGCATGTAGCTGGTGAAGGATCACTGACCTTTGGTTTTCTCATGCCTACCTGAAGGGCAAAATACTGCTAAACATGCTGTTCCCTCCATGAAAATGCACTTCCTTGTTCTCCTCCTGGAAAACCATCCTTCAAGGTCCAGTTATGTGAAGAACCTTCTACCTATTTTGCTGACTATAAATCTGCTCCTGTTCTGGACTCAAGTAAAGCTCCTGGAGTGGGTGGTGCTGTAATTATTCTGCCATATTAATATATCCAATCAAGCCGTTCCCTGTTTTGTTTTGTTTTGTTTTTTGGCGAGCTAAAGTGCTGTGGGGTCAGCCTATCTCACGGCAACCTCGAACTCCCGGGCTGAAGCAATCCTACTGCCTCAGCCTACCCGGTAGCTAGGACTACAGACATGTGCCACCATGCCCAGCTAATTTTTTTATTCTTTGTAGAGACGGGGTCTGGCTATTTGCTCAGGCTGGTCTCAAACTCCTGGCCTCAAGGAATCCTCATGCCTCGGTCTTCCAAAGTGCTGGTATTCCAGGCGTGAGCCACTGTGCCTGGCCAAAGATACCTTTTACTTAAGAAGCCCCATCGTAGAGCAGGCTCCAGAGACTCAACTAAGCCAAGCAAACATCCATCTTCATCTCTTAGCTCTGTCTTCCTCAGTGTGGACTTCACTCTCACACTGTACCAAGGTGGTCATGAGCAGGTTTAGGCCTGACCATGTCATTCTGGGTCTTCTTAGGAGAAAACCTTTATTAGAATCCTCCCACCCCAACCTGGGAAGACCTACTGGCCAGGACTGGGTCACATGCCCATTCTTAAGCCAAGCACTGGAAAGAATGATCTGCATGAGCTGGTGATTCGAGGGCAGAACTGATGGATATCAGGTTGCCACCATGGCGCATTGGCCCAGGTGAGGGGAGATGAGGCCAGAACTGCTGAGGAGATGAATTCGCTGTGGCTTCTACATCCATCTGTCCCCAGTAGGCCTTCCTGATACAATGAAGCAATGCTCGACTGTTTCAACTTTCCTCTGGATCTGAGCCTCCCATCCTCTGCCAGAAGCCAAGAACTCAGCACAGAAACCAAAATAACACCATTTTATTCCAATCTTGAAGCACAATAGTCCAAAAAGTTCCCCTCCCCAGCTGGAGTGTCCAGCCGTGCCGCTAGACTCCCAGTGCCCCCTCGCACTCTGCCTTCCAGGAAGGAATAGCCACCCAGAAGGCAACGGGGCTCCAAGTCTGCAGGTCTTGGAGAAACACCCGAATCACTCCCTTCTCATTCCTTCCCTCCCCATCGCCCATTCCTTCCCTTGATCTCATCTCCTTTCTCCTTCCCTCTCCTCCATCCTGTCCCCTTCTCCCCTCCCCATCCCACCTCTCTCCCCCCCCACCCCCCGCTTTCCCACATCCCCCTCCTCTCGTCCCCTCCCCCCCACACCTCTCCACCCCCCTATATCTCCTCCCCCCGCCCCTCCCCCACCTCTCTCCTCCCACACCACACTCCCCCCGGTCCCCCCCTCCCCCCGCCACCCCCAAAACGAACAAGCCAACCCTGCCAAACGCCGCCAAAACCCGGGGGCCTCAACCTCCCCCCAACCCCGCCCCAGTCCCTCCCTCCCCCCCGGCCCGAACCCGGCCAAAACCCCCAACAAAAAATTCCCCCCCCCAAGGAAACCCCCAAAACCAAAACAGCCAAGAAAAACCTCACCGGCCGGGGCCCCAAGCACCCAAAGAACAACGGCCGCCTCCCCCTGGAAACAAAAAAGCAAACTACCAAAATGAGATCCCCGGATGACCCAAGAGGTGGCCAGAGGGACTGGGGTGGTCTCCTGGGCCTCAGCCCTATTATCTTTGGGATAGAAGAATGCCCTCCCGCCCTCACAGTGGAGGGTGGTGGGCAGGGGCCCTAAGGGTCAGGGCTCTGGGGCTCTGCCCCAGCAATCCCTGAGCAGGTCCATGTGGAATAAGGCTGCCCCAGTGAGGAGGCGCGCTGCAAAGAGGTGTCGGCAGGGCAGACGACGGGCAGCGTGGATCGAGCAGCTGCAGCGTGTCAGGGCCCCATCCAGGAAGAAGTCCGAGGTGCCGTCCTTAAGGGCAAAGCCAGCTCCGGTCCAGTGGAAACCCCGAGTCCCATGCTGCCTGGCAAAGGCTAGCTCCTCGGCCACCAGGTCTGCCAGCTCTGGCCCACAGGCTGCTCGGAATTTGGCCAGGGGCTCCCAATCTACCTCCTCCTCTCCTGAGGGGCGACAAAGCCTCTTTGCTTCCCTTGGACCTTCTCCTTCACCTCCTTCCTGCAGGTTCTCCTCCGCAGCCAGGGACTCGCTCCTCATTTCTGCCCATTCTGGATGGACTTCAAATACAGTCCCCACCCGGGTGCCACACACGACTCCGTTCTCCAGCTCTGGACACCTCCCTCCTGTGTCTCCCCACTCTATCCCGTGTCCTGCTCTGCTCTTCGGGCCCACAGACCGGGCTCCTCCTCCATCTCCATTCTCCATGTCTGCAACCCTTGTGTCCCCCAGCTGGACCAGAACTATGTCCTCCAGCCCCCTTCTTCTTTTGACCCCCAACATCACTCCCCTGTCCTCTGCGATCTCTGGCCCTCTCCTCTTCTCATCTCCCCACTGGGGGTCCCTTTGGTCTCCGTTCTCAGAGACCAATTCCAGGGGCTTCTCCAAATGGATCCCCCTCCAGTTTCTGAAATCCAGCCCCTTCCCTTTCTCGGCTTCCAACTGGGGCCCCTTCCACTCTCTGGTTCTCAGTCCGCTTCCCCTTTCATCACGCAGCTGGGCCCCTCTCCAGGGGCTTCCTTCAATACTCCTGGCCCTCTCACACTCAGACTGGGGCCCCCTCCCATCTGCCGTCTCCAACACCCTCCTCCTTCGATCCTCCAACGGAGCCACCCTCCAGGTATATCCTTCCAGTCCTCGTAGCCCCTGCTCCTCCAACTGTGCCCCCCTCCAGACATAACCTTCCAGTCCCCAATCTTTCTCATCCTCTAACTGGGGCCCCCTCCAGTCTCTGATCTCTGGCCCTCTCAAGTGCCCTTTCTCCAACTGGGACCCTCTCCAGACACTCCCTTCCAGCCCCCTCACCTTCTGGTTCTCCAACGGGGCCCCTCTCCAATCTCGGATCTGCAACCCCCTGGCCTTCTCATTTTCTAACTTAGTCTCGTCTCTGTCTCTCGTCTCCAGTTCTCGTGCCCACTCTTTCTCTATCTGTGCCCCTCTCCAAATACTTCCTTCTTTCGGCGCTCCCCCCCAGTCTCCGGTGTCCAGGCCCCTCACCCTCTGGTTTTCCACCTGGCCCCCCCTTCCCAGCTCGCCCTCCAGCCACGCCCCGCCTCCATCTGGGCCCTCGGGTGCCGCCTCCCCGGCCGCGTCAGCCCACTGCATGGCCACCAGGTCGCGAAGGCATTGAGCCACGCTGCGCGAGGGGCTGAGGCGGCGCAGAAGTCGCCGGCGGTGGCTGCGCACCAGGGCGCTGGCGTCCAGGTCTCGGGCTGCCTCGAAGGCGCGGAAGCGCACCCACATGTCGCGGCGGGGCTCCCAGTTGCGCTCAAAGTAGTCGACGAAGGCGGCTGGGCCATGGGCGTGCAGCTCAGCCAGCGCCTCGTCGTAGGCGGAAGGCGACGACGCGCCGGCCAGGCGACACAGGCGCGGCCACAGACCCGGGTCCTCGCGGCCCGCGCCGCCCAGCTCCTGCGCCTTGCTGAAGAGCGTCTCGAGGCCCTGCGCTCGGCAGATCTGCACGCGCGCGCACGGCAGCAGCTGGCGCATGGCGGGCAGCTGCGCCGCCACCTCAGGCCCGGCCGTGAGGCAGCGCACGCGGCCCTTGACGTCGGGCGCGCTCTGCAGCAGCGAGGCGAGCGCGAAGCGCAGCAAGCTCGGCGTGCCTGGGCGCGCCACGCAGCAGGCGGCCTGGCGTGCGCGGCCCGCGCCGTCCACGCACAGCACCGCCAGCAGGTCCAGCGCGCCCTGCAGCCCCGGCAGCCGGTCCACCAGGAGCATGCGCGGGAAGCGCCTCAGCAGCGCTCTGGTGCGCGACGTCAGGAAGAACACGGTCTCCACCACCGCCTGGTCTTCCACGAACACCAGCTTCACCTGTGGGAGGGGGAGGGGGGAAGGTCAGAGGACGCCAGGTTGGCCCCGCCCAGCTTCCCTGACCTCTGTTTCCCCCTCTAGGGAAGTGGGAATCCGTTCATTTATACGTACTTGTGCATTTATTCTTCTGACTGGCAGGAGGCAGTGCAGGGGAATGGTTAAAAACAGGTGTTTGAGATCCAAACACCACCATCTAATAACCATGTGATGTTTTTGCACACGATACTTTAAGCCTCTCTGAGCCTCCATTTTCCCGCTAGGAACTGGGCCTTCATTCCTTCATGTGCTGAGAGGAAGTCTAGGGCAGTGGTTCTCGAAACGTAGGCCCTGGACCACCAGCAACAGCCTCAGCATCAGCTGCTTGGACGTGGACAGAAATGCGCATTCTCTGGGTCACCCCAGACTTACTGAGTCTGAAATTCGAGGCGGGGCCCAGGGATCTGTTTTGACAAGCCCTGCAGGGGCTCCCCGTGCACACTCCAATTTGAGAACCACTGGTCTAGTGGTAAGGAGCACAGACTATGGAGGCAGATCGTCTAGGTTGGAATCCCAACTGTACCACTTCCTAACCTGTGATTCAACCTCTCTGTGCCTCAGTATCCCCTTTAACCTCCATATTCCCTGATTCCCCCTTCTAGGAATTGAATGTTCATTCCTTCATGTACCAAGAGGCAGGACAGTGGTTGTCTCTGGGGCCAGACTGCCTGGGCTGAGATCTTAGAGCCCCTACTTCTTGGCAGTGTGGCTTCTGGCAACTTCCCTAACCTCCGTTTTGATAATAAGAGTACCTCTGTGACTGGAAGGATGAAATGCATTAAAGCATTTATAACAATGGCTGGCACACATAATGTTACTATTATTACTCATTCAACAAATAGCAAGTGCTCTTAAAGTGGTCATTATTACTATAATTATCATCTCTGCTCAGACTCCCCTTCCTCATAAAGGTCTCCGCTGATCATCCCAGCTAAGCCAACACCCCATCTCTCTCTGGCCCTTTTTGGCCCCGGCACTTACCACCCTCTCGCACATCATATCTTAATTTGCTGAATGTCTGTTTGCTCTCCCTAAGACGTAAGCCCCACAAGGACGAGGATGTTCCCTTTTGTATCCCTTATGCTTTGGAGGGTATCTGGCGCAGAACAACAGCTCAATGCATCCTGAATGAGGGAGTGAACTAACGCGAGGGTGTGCAGGGATATCCAGCGGCCACATTTCTGCAGTGGAGGTTCATGGAACAGACTCCTGGATTTGCCTCTTATTAGCTGTGGGACTTTGGGCAAGTGACTTCCTCTAGGCGAGTCTCAGCTTCCTTGTCTGGTAAAATGGGGATGTCCGTTTAACGGGGTCATGATGAGGCTAAAATGAGATCATTCATGGCCAACTCTTGCAACAATGCCTGGCATATTTCAAATCCCAGCTATTATTACTGTTTTACTTGATCTCTCAGCAGGATTCAGCACAGTGATCCTGCCCCCTTCCTGGAACATGGGTCGCTCTTGGCCTCTGTCACTCTGAAAACTCCTGCTTTTCCTCCTTCCTCCCAAGCATCTCCTTTCCTGGCCTCTACTCAGCTGCTCCACTTCTAACTATTACCACGCCACAGAGCCCAATCCTTGGCCGCTCCTCTCCTCTCTTCCCTATGTCCGTGCTCTCCCAAGGTGATCTCATCCAGTCGCATGGCCCTCATCATCTCCAAGCTGGTAACTCCCAGGTCTGTACCTCAGGCTCCAGACCCACCTAATCAACTGCCACTGCAGTAATCTGGCCCTTGGGTGGCTCATATGCCCCTTGAGACTAGCAGCCCAAACTCACATTTGATTCTCACACGCCCCCCCCCACCTGCCCCTCCTTGGCCAATGGCTTCACCATCCACACATCACAGTTCAGGCCCCAGCACTCAGGGTTGATGCTCAGTTTCTCTTTCCCCACCCTCCATGTGCAATCCAAGCCCAAGTCCTAGCAACGTCCCTCAGAATGAGTCCAGAATCTGACCACTTCTCCCCACCCCTGTGGCCACCACCCTGGCTCGAGGCACCAGCATCTCTCACCTGGATTATTGTAGTTGCCTCCTCAATAGGCTTCTTGTGTCTCCCCTTGCTCCCTTGTCTGTCTCCATATGGCTGCTAGCGGGGCATTTTCAAAACTCTGATCAGATCGCCCCCTCCTCTACTGGAAAACCCCTCCCAGGATTTCCCATCACGCTCTAAATAAAATCAGCAGTCCACACCACAGCTATGGGCTCTGGGCATTCAGGCCCTTTGACCTCATCTTCTGTTTCTCTCGCCCACTGTGGTCTCTGCCACTCTGGCTTCCTCAGGATTGCAAAATAGCCGCTTGATGGGGAGGGGAGATTAGCAGCTATGATCCAGGACCCCCGTACCCCTGTACGGGGCCAGCTGCTAGGCCTCCCTCAGCCCGTTCCTGCAAGTGCTGACCACAGCTGCCGTACCAGGATTTGATCGAGTTTAACTACCGATCTCTCCACAAATCATTCTGCCATAATCCAACCTCATCCTATAAGACCATTTAAAAAGCACTGCATAGTATTCAGTTTAAAAAAAATAATCTATTTTAAAAAGGGTCTAGTAGAGTCCAAAGAGAACAAGGAAATTGCTTTCCTAAGCCTGAAATCACACATTCACCACTTTAAATAGTATTGGAATTCAATACATTTTACCCAAAAAAGCCTAGTAAGCTTACCACTGAATTAGACACTGCTATAAATTTTTTCAACCATCATTAATTATTACACTCACAATTACTTTATAATTTATCTCAGATGTTCAGTCTAGACCTGCTGTGTCCAATATGGTAGCCAACAGCTACCTGTAACTGTTTAAATTTAAATTAATAAAATTTATAAAAAAGTGCAGTTTCTTGTCACATTAGCCATATTTCAAGTGCTCAGTAGCCACCTGAGGCCAGTGGTTACTCTACAGGATGGCACAGATCTGGAACATCTCCATGATTACAGAAAGTTCTATTGGACCCTATACAGGGTGTTTCTGGGGAAGAACAGCTGAGACTTATTTACTTCATGATGGACGGTGGGTAACAGCTACTAGCTCACCGAAGACCAGTGGAGTAGGGAATGCATGTGTACATCCCCATTTTACAGAGCAGCAAGCTGACTCACATGGGGCCTCAACCTTCTGAAGGCTGGAACTGGTGGAGAGGGAGCCGAGCTTCATTTCCAAACTGGGGAATAGCACAGCAGTGAAGACCATGGTCCTGGCTCAAGACACTGTGTGTCCAAAGCCCAGCTCATTAAGTAGCTGTGTGACCTCAGGCCAGTTGCTTGACTTCTCTGTGCTTCAGTTTCCTTATTTGAAAAATGGGAATGAGAACAGTGGACTCTTTCCTCACAGGGCTCTGGTGAGAGTTAAATTAATTACGATATGTAAAGCACTTAGGGTAGTACCTGGCACATAGTAAGCGCTTGATAAACATTAGCTAAAATTATCATCAATATTATGTGTGGACAGAGGCCTTGGCTTGGGTTGGTGGCTTGAATGGGAGCTGGTTACTAGACATGACATAGAGACAGGGAGAGTGCTCCAGACCTGAATCTGGAGAATGGGTTCATATCTCAGCTTTACCCTGAGTTGGGACCCCATGAGACAAAGGCACAGCCAACTGGAGAAACCAGTTCGTCCCCCTTTCTTGTCTTTCTTTTCTTTTTTTCTTTTCAACTTCAAGTCCCAACCTGAAGTTGGATCAAAGCCACAGAAAGATTCCTCATGGGGGAGCAGCATCCTCCTTGTTCCTCCAACCCACCAAGCTTGCTCTAGGCTCTGGGCCTTTGCACTGGCTGTTTCCCCTGCTTGGAACTCTTTTCCCTCTAATGACAGAATGGGGATCCCTTCCTTCCATTCCATAGCCTCTGCCTCATCATCATTTCTTTAAAGAGGACTTCCCTGACCACTCAAAGTGAAATAGCACCCTTACAACTGTCCCTCCCCAAGCCCTCGCCTTATTCTCCTTGGTAATACTCATCACTCCGTCATATTATATGACATAGCACTTCCTTCTCATTCTTGATCTGGGTGGTGGGTTCACGGGTGACCAGAGTTTTGACCTTGTGAACATTCATCAACTATATGCTTATCATTTGTGCATTTTCTATTTGTGTAGTTCGATTAAAAAATGTAAATGGCACCTTCCATCGCTTTGGTTCATCTTCTCCCTAGCACCCAAACCTAGTGACATTTGGATGTGTTTGTCCACTGTCGGCTTCCACGACTAGAACTGCAAAGTAGTTCTAGCAGCTACCTCTGTAAGGTAGCCAATAGCCATAGTGACTATTTAAATTTCAATTAATTAAAATACAATACAATCAGTTCCTCAGTCATGCTGGCCATATTTCAGTGCTCAATAGCCACATGTGGCTGGGGGCCACCAAACTGGGCAGCGCAGAATCACAGAACATTTCCATCATGGAAGAAAGTTCTACTGGGCAGCGCTGCACTAGAAGGCGAGTTCTCTGCGGGCAGGGACAGCATGTGTCTTGTTCTCTGCTGCATCCCCAATGGCTCAGTAAGTACTTATCGAACGAATGAATGGATGAAGGAAAGGAGTGAAGGATGAGTGGGTGGATGAATGAATGAATGACCCGCCAGTCTTGGGCGTTGCTCTCCCCTGCCCCCCGTCCTGCCTCTCCTGAGACCCCACCTTGGCCTCGGGGTCGGTGCGGAAGAGCCCCTCCAGCACGTGCAGGGCGTCCAGGACTCCGTGGTCGCGGCCCTTGCAGTAGGAGAGCAGGCGTCGCACGTCGGCCGGGGCCACGAACTGCTTGGAGATCTTGTTGGTGGTGCGCACCGGCAGGCAGGCGTTGGCCAGCAGGTGGCCCGGGCGGAAGTAGTAAGCGAACTCCAGCGGGCAGGCCGGGTGCGAGTGGGTCAGCTGGCACTCTGTCACCACCAGGCGGTCCCGCAGTGGGCTCAGCTTGACGATGATAAAGGCCGGGCAGCCGGGCTGGGGGGGCCTGCGGGAGGAACGACCACCGACGCCGTCACTTCCCTCTGCTGCCCTCTTCCTCCTTTCCTCTCTCTCTTTTTTTTTTTTAATTAAGAATTTTTTTTTCAAGCATAAAGGAGAGGGCCTTAAGAATATATCAGCTGTGTGACCTTGGGCAAGTCACCTCAAGTCTCCATACCTCAGTTTCCCCATAGGTTAAAAGTGAGGTAGCAACCATCAAACCTTCCTCACAGGATTGTTGTGAGAATGAAAAGAGTTGATATACATAAAGCACTTAAAAACAGTGTCAGGAACATGGTAAGCACTATGTGTTTGCTAAAATTCTATACCCACCATCCTCAGCTCTACCAAAAGTAAATGAACGTTTTATTATATTTACCTCAAAAAAATTTCAGAAATGAAACGTCTCAGATAGTCCTGTATCTGCTTCTGGTTTAGCAATAACAGTGCAAGTTGAGGCCCTCTGTGAACCCTGACCTAACAAATTCCACTCCTTCTTTAGCGATTACCAAAACTGTGCATTTAGCATCCCCACAATATTTGTTTATGCACCCATAAACAATGGAAGGCATGTTTCTATGTTTTAAAACTTTGTATATGCAAAGAGGCGCTCAAACTCATTAGTTATCAAGGAAACAACAAATTAAAACCCTAAGGAAGGACCACCACACACCGCTAGAATAGCCAAAAAAAAGAGATTGATAACATAAAGTGTTGATGAGGATGTGGAGCAACTGGAACTCACACATCATTGATGGGAGGGTAAAATGGCACCACCACTCTGGAAAACTGTATGGCAGTATCTACCAAAGCTGATCCTATTCCTCTCCTGTGGCCCAGTGATTCTACTCAAGATAAATGCCTGCATATGGCACATACAGATGTGTACTAGGATATTCATAGCAGCACTGTTCATATCAGCCAAATACTTGAAACTCAAATATCCAACAACAGAGCAATAAGTTGTGATATATTCCTAAAATAAAATACTAATCAACAGTAAGAATGAACAAACTATTACAGTCTCCAACAACATGGATGAATCTCACAAAGCTACCATGTCAAAGAAGCCAGACGCAAAGAGAACCCATGATATGATTCCTGCTTATATAAAGTTCAACAACAGGCAAAGTTAACCTCTGCTTTTAAGAGATTAGATAGTGATTACCTACTTGTAAAGGGTTAACTGTATGAGGGGGAACTAGGAGCCTTCTTGGAACTGGACACATTTTGTTTCTCATTCTGGGTGCTGGTGACATGTGCATTCTACTTCACGAAAATTCATCCAGTTGCACACATACGATGTTTGCACTTTTCTGGATGTGTGTTACGCTTTTAAAAATAACTTAGAAAACCTTGTTTTAGAGCATTATGGTAGGAATAATGGCTTCCCAAAATGTCCGCATCCTGGTTACTGGAACCATGCGTATGTTGCCTTACGTGGCAAAAAGGACTTTTAAGGTGTGATTAAATTAAGGATCTTCAGGCCAGGAGATTCTGGATAATGCAAGTGGGCCCAGTATAATCACAAGGGTCCTTATAAGGGAAAGAGAGAAGCAAGATCAAAGTTAGAGATACAGTGAAAGATGCTACCCTGATGGCTTTGAAAATAGAAGAGGCCTCAGGCCAAAGAACATGGGTGGACTCTAGAATCTGTAAAGAGTAAGGAAGCAGATTCTCCCTAGAACCTCAAGAAGGAAAGGAGCCTTGCCAATACCTTGATTTTAGCCCAGTGAAACCCATGTTGGCCTTCTGACTTCCAGAACTGTAAGACAATAAATTGGTATTATTTTGAGCCACTATGTTTGTGGTAATTTGTTACAACAGCAATAGGAGACTAGGGCAAGCATCGCATTCAATATACTCTTTTGCAGCTTGCTTTTTCACTCATCAGATTTTCAAGACTTTTCAGTTTCATTCCTTTTATTTGCTGCCTGTGTATTCCACTCCATGACTTTGCCAACTATTATGGTGTTTCAGTCCTCTTATCTTACAAACAATGCTTCAACACTCTCTCTTATACATCTCTTTAGGTGTGTGAGCAAGAGTTTCTCTAGGAAAGCAGTTCTCAAACTGCAGGGCATAGCTCATTACATGAAATCAATTTAGGGAAGTACAACCAGGATTGTAAAAAATGAAATAGAATAGGAAAAAAATCAGAGTGTATTTCCCTGATAATAATATTTAAATTGGAATCTGCTTTCTGAAGGAGGGGTGGTCAGTGTTTCTCATGGGGAGTGGTGATGGCACCATTTTTTTTTTTTTTGGTAGGGAGTTTATAGAGCAGGGATAGTCAAACTTTTTTCTGCAAAGGGCCAGATAGTAAATATATTCTGTTGCTATACCTTAAACACAGTCATAGACAATATGTAAATGAACAGGCATGGCTGTGTTCCGATAAAACTTTATTTATAAAAATGGACTGCAGGTTAGCATTGGCCCAAGGGCTTCCAAGTTAGCTGACCCTCATAACACAGAGTGCCCAGGGCCTAGTATGTAGTTAAGAAGCCCTGGCTTCTAGGTAGTAAATGCCAGTAGCGTGGCCCCTGCCATGGATGATTCTCCCTGAGAACTATCAGTATAAATACTTACGAATTTTCTTGTTAAACCAGAAGGGGATCCTTGACACATCCCTTTTCTCCTATATGCATGAGGTAAAGAAAAACTGAGGTACCTGCTAGATTTTAAAAATCTAAATAAAGTTTGAGGCTTTTTGCCTTATTTAAAGTAACAAAACTAAAGCAAATTTAGAAAATTCTTAAGTATACAAATCATTATAAATAAAATACAAAAGTACAGCCACCATGGTGGTATGAGGTGGAAGCCAAATGAATTGCCAACATGCAGCCATTTGTAATCTACCCAATATGACAATTTCACGGGATTCCAATCCAGTGCATTTTTCTAGAATAACTCACGCGCTTTTGTGAAACTCTCTGGTCTGGCCCCTTTCAGCCTAGTGTTTCAGGCTCTAGAACAGGCCGTCACTCAGGGGAGGCCACCTCTTCTATGAAGACACCCATCTTGCCAGAGAATAGCACACCCCCTCTGTGGATCCCAGCATCTCACATAACCATCTACTGATGCCTCAACACACCATTTTTGCAATTGCTCACCACCTATCCAGAGGAATGATGCCACCTCTCTCTATATGTAAACTCCACATGGACAGGAATTTTTGTCTGTTTTTGTTTATCTCCATCTCCCCGGTACCTAGAGTAGTGCTCGGGAGACAGAATGGCCTGGCCCCTGGAGGTGCTCAGTAAATGTCTGATGACTGAAGGACTGAATCACATTGTGACCTAGACACCTTGGCACACCTTCTCTGGCATATGACCCCCATTCCTTCAAAACCATCCATCACCAAGTCCTGCCCACTATGCCTTCCAAACCTCTCCAAACTACCCCCTTTGTTCCATTTCCACTACCACTAACCTACTATTTCTTTCTTCCTTCATGAAACATTCTTCTCCCTTCTTTTCACCTAGTCAACTCCTCCTTATCCTTCAGGCTTCATAGCCAGTATCACCTCCTCCAGGAAGCCTTCCCTGACCATCCTCAGGCCAGGGAAGATTCCATCCATCACATACTAATGTGATAATCTGATTTTATGCTCATCTGTAATGTATGCTTCCCGCAGAAGCCCCAGCATTTAAAACACAGCCAGCTGGCACATAGTAGGGCTCAAAACATACCCCCTGGATGAAGGGACAAACAGGATGATGCCTAGAACCCCAGAAATCTTTAGCTGGTAGCATATTCAACTCTCATTTCGATAACCCATAACTGAAATAAAGGTGAAGGGGAGAGGAGAGGAGAGAGATAGATAGAAAGAGAAAAAGAAAAAGAGAGGTGACGGAGTAATAATTAAAAGAATGGGCTTTGGAGTCAGACTGTGGGGGGTCTAAATCCTGGTTTTCCCTCTTAGTAGCTGTGTTATCTTGGTATAGTTCTTTAACCATTCTGTGCCTCAGTTTTCTCATCTGGGAAATAGGGCTAATAATAAGACTGGCCTCACAGGCTTGTCAAGAGGACTAAATAAGAGTATTAAACTACACAAAGTGGTTAGAAAAGGGGCTGGTGCATAGTAAACAATCAAGAAGTGATAGCTGCTACTTTCAAACCATTTTCTGTTCTTCTACAAGTATTATTGCTTTCCTTTATTTTGCATTCCACTCACACAAATTTATTTTTGATCTTTCAGGTTTTCAAGATCTCCGTGCTTTGAAAGGCTGGTGTGTGTTGGGAAAGGTTGAGCAGTTCTGTTCTAGAGAGGGAAGTGCTGAGAGATCATCTCCCACATCTCTCCCTGCAGACCATCTCCCACCCAGAGCCGACCTTGCTCACAGTCCCCTGGAGCTCCCCAGCACCCCAGCATAAAGTCTCAGCCTCTGGACTCAGCCCTGCCAGGTCCAGACCTTGACACCATTCCAGCCTCTTCTCTTGCCTTTTCTCACCCACTAACTTCTCCAGCCTCAGGTCTCAGCCCATGGGCTGTCCCTGGGCTGAGACACTGGAGAGACCCTGCCTTGAGCAGCTGGGGGTGAGGTGCGGAAGCCCAGAAACGATGGGCCCACATCATGGTTCCAGAACAGCTAATCAACCACCCCCCTTTTGCACTCCCCATCCAGAGACCACTCCATCATCGACCCAGTCACCAGAACCGAACTCAGGGCACTGCCCTAGACCCCTCCACAGCCCTGTCTCTCCTGCCTCCTGGCTCTCTCTGATATTTATAGAACACTTGGGACAGTAACTGCACATAGTAAACACCAGGTGTTTGTTAAGTTAAATACTGTACATACATAAACATATAAACAAAATCCATCAAGGTTCTGCTTACTGGTTACCTCTTCCAGGAAGCCTTCCAGAAGCACACCATAAGCCTTCAGTTGGAGATGACCATTCCCTTTTTGTCCTCTTCCAGTCTCCCCCCATCAGTTTTGCTCTCACTACTGTGGGCCACTATTTGCACTTTTTTTTTTTTCTTTTTGAATTGTGTCTCCTCCATTAAGTTCTGAGCTGCTCCAGGGCCCAGACCACTACTGGGTTCCAAATGCCCAGCAAAGAACATGCACACAGTAGATGCTCAAAAGCTATTTGTTACACTGGATTGGGTTCTGTTAACAAAGAGAGATTCCAGATTAGGCCTGCGCTTCTCGTGAGCTCTAATATTCCAGATTTCTCTGTCACTTGTGTGTTTGACACTATGCTGCTTTCAGATCTCCCAATCTCTGTTTCCAGAATAAGTAGTGAGTAAACTCAAGAAAACAGTAATTCCACAATAAACGTTTAACTAACTATTGGTGAGAATAGCTGTTAGAGTGCACTCACTCTTTGCTGGATGCTCTTCTGAATGATTTATATGTATTAGCTCACTTAATATTCATAAAATCTATGAGATAGATACTATTACGTGCCCCATTTTCCCAGTGAGGAAACTGAGGCCCAGAAAGGTGTAGTCACTTGCTCAATAGCACTAGTTATTCATCAGCAGAGCAATGGCCCCACAGTCTGCTCTCAAATCCTGTAATAGCTGTCACTTAACCAGCTGCCCTGTGTTCCAGGCACTGGCATAAGTGCCTTTCTTATGCATGATCTCACTGCATCTTCACAACAGCCCCATGAGGCAGATACCAAAGTAACCCCATTTCAGAGATGAGAAAACTGAGGCTTGGAGATGTGAAGTTCATTGCCCAAAGACACCCACCCAGGAAGTGGAGCCCATCTCAGGCAGCCTGAAGGCAGAGAACCTATGTTCTTAGGCACTCTGACCTTGTCTATGGCTCCCCAGCCAAAGGTCTCAAACTCACACCTACAGAGGCCAGTCAGGCAAAATAAGGAAGTAACAGTGCTAAGCATGAGGCAGCAGAGAGCGACAGGGTTTGGGGCAAACCTGAGCATCTAACAGGGGCCATCTAACAGGGGTTGCCTTCTGCCACACGGAAATGTGGGCTCACCTTTTCCTGTGTTTGAAGGGAAGCTAGAATATCGTATGGGTAACCATCCCAGTTTAAAATTGGGGTTAATTAAAATACCCCCAGCCACCTGGGTGTGATTGCTGGCTCTCCTCGATTTCTTGCCTGTCCCTCCTTGTAGCATTACATAGTTGCAGGCAACTACCCATGAACTTGTTCTTTTAACATCAGTCTTCCTGTCCAGTCTGAAAGTTCCATGAGGACAGGGATTTTTGTCTCTCCCTCCCTCCCCCCAAAAAAATCCCCAGCCCCCAGCATGGGACCCGACCCACCCTGTATTTACTGAATAGATGGACCTTTGTCTCGTGGCTTTCCCTGCAGTTCAGTCTCCCAGTCTCTGTTCTCTTTGTATGTGCACAAGGTATTTAGCTGTCTCAATAGGCCTCTCTCCCTCCACATCTCCCAGTGTGGGGCTTTCTGGCTGTCCCCCCCACCTCCATCCACTTCCCCGCCCCCCAGCCGGACAGCAGCACAGGCTCACGCACCCCACAGTGGGCCGACTGGGCGCGCGCACATCCTTGCACACGAGCCGCACGTAGCTGTACTTGAGCACGTCGATGAGCGTGTAGAGTGGGGGTGCGCTGGCCCAGCGGCAGCGTGCCAGGTGCATGGAGCTCTTGACGAAGAACAGCGCCAGCCGCTGCTGGCACCACGCATCGAAGAAGCGGCTGAACTCTGCCCACGAGAAGAAGGCCCGCTCCCGCAGCTCCTGCTCCTCCTGCCCCGCTGCTGTGCAGGCTGGAAGCTCCCGCCGCTCCATCGTGGGGGCCTGAGTGCAAGCGGGGAAAACAGCTACATATAAGATCCATCCCCACCTGGGATATCTCATTTTCTCCATTCTCAGCCTGCCCCGTTGGTGCTGATGCCTCTGTCCAAGTAGGGTCTGGAGATGGATGCCCATTTTTCTCCAGATATAAATCTCTACCCTATCTTTGGTCTCCCCTCACCACCTTTTGCCTCTTCAGTTGGAGCCTGTCCACCTGATCCCTAGCTCCAACTCTGGTCCCCTCCTCTGCAGATGTGACCCTTAGGTACAGTTGGGGTCCCTTTTCCCAAAATATGACTCTTAAGCTCAGCTAAAACCTCTTCCCCTTCCAGATGTGTCTCACCATTGGCAGTAACCTCTAGTACCCCCATTCATCCGGAACTCCCCTTTGCAAGTGTCTACACTTAGCTGTAACCCACATCCAGCTGTGCCCCCTCTAAAAATGTTCCAGCTCCAGATGTGCTCCCACATTCAGGCACAAACTCCTCATCCGGTTATATTCTTCATGCAACTGTGGTTCCCTACTCCCCAGATGAGTCTCAGACGTGCCGCTGTTGCCCTCCCCCAGATGTGAACCCTATGGATCACCACGTCCAGCTGTGGCTCCTCCATCTCACAGATGTTCTCATCTCCAGATGTGCCCTCCACATCCAGTTATGGACTCTTTGCCTACAGGTGTGTGCCCACTTGTGGCCAGTTCTCCCCAGAAATGTCACCAATATTCATCTGTGGTCCCCTTCCTCCTCACATGCGTCTCCCAGTCCGGCTGTGGCCCCCTTATCCCAGCTACAGCCACCATCCTTCTCAACAAGCGTCTTCTTTATAGACATAGCCCCTCATCCACAGACGGGCTTCTTCACCCCAAATGCTCCCCCATGTCCAGCTGCGCCTCTCTCCTCCAGCAACCCCTTCCGGCCCGCTCCCGCCTCTCAATCCCTCCCAGCCCCGCCCGCCGCGGCCCCTCCCAGCCCCGCCGTCCCACCTAGCTGTGCCTCTCCCCTCCCCCAAATGTGCACCCTTCCCGCCCCTCCCCACTCACCTACCCGCCCCGGAGCGGCGTCCACTTCCCACAATGCTCCGCGCCTAGGCCCAGCCCGGCCCTTGCTCCCGGGATGCCCCGCGCGGCTTCCCGCCTCTCTTCCCGCCGTGCCTCGCGCGCGGGTTCCACCGAGTCTTCCTCTTTGCCCGCCACTCACTCGTCCGACCCGCAGCCACACCCGCTCCCGCTCGTCCAGAGCAAGGAAAGGCTTGGGCCGTTTCCCAGCGTGCTCTGCGGGAGGGCTTACCGTGCTTCGCCCTCTTTCCAGGCCGCTTCCCATTCGGGAGACTACAATTCCCAGCGTCCCCCGCGCAGCGACGGCGGTGCCGCCGCAATCGGGCTTCGCCCCTCGGCTCGGCCCCGCCCCCGCCCGCCGAAGTCTGCGCGCGAATACCGTGGCGCGAATTTGGGACTGCAGCGGCGCGCTGAGCGGAGCTGAGGGTGTTGCCGGGCCAGTGGCGCGCGGGATCCGCGCGAGGTAAGTTGGGCCTTCCCCACAGGGTTGGGGGACTGAGGGCGACGAGCGTGCCGAATGCTTGGGGCCCATGCTTCGCCTGTCGGAGTGGCTGCAGAGCAGCGGTGTGGGGACGATGAAGAGGCCCAGTGCGCGGTAGGAAGGGGAGAGCGCGGGCTGAGGGCTGCCGGCCAGAGGGCAGAGCGGCGTCTGCCGGAGGAGGGGCCAAGTAGAGGGTAGACGAGGGAAGGAGACGGACGCGACAGGGTCTGAGGACAGGCCTGAAGGGGCGGGGGCCACTTGGAAGGGGGAGGGGCCAGGGAAAGTTTGTTGGTGGGCGGGGCCGCTAACCGGGGTGGGGCTAAGGAGAAGGTTAATAGTGGGCAGCGTCACCTGTAAGGGGTGGGCCCAGCTGGACGAAAGTGGGGTGAGGGAGAGGTCAGTGGTAAGGTCCAGGTCTAGGTAAGGCCTCGCGAAGGATGGATAGGGAGAAGTGTGGCCTTGTGTATGTGCGACAAAGGAGCGGAGCCGAGGCAAGGGTGGGCTAGACAGCAAAAATGGAGCCAAAAGGTGGGGCCGAGCAGAGGAGAGTTTAGGGAAAGGTCGGGGCTTGTTTTTGCCCGCTGAGTGTGGATTGGGGAGGCACAGGAGCTTGGGGAGTGAAGAGAGAGGATGTTGACTTCCTTAGGCAATAGGGAAGCTTGGAGGGTCAGGGGGAGGGCGCTTGGTGCTGAGAAGAAGAGACCTGGCATCTGAAAGCCAAGGGGAATTCGGGACAGAAGACAGCAGAAAGTGGCATTAAAGACATCACTGCTTGGCCTCCATCCCCGTTTCGGCAACTTTGAATCTTAGACTTGCCTATTCGGCAGCCTAAGAAGGAGGCATGAGGGAAAGGCGCTTTAATTTCGTTTTGTTTTCGGATCTTTGAGCCTGTTAGGCCTGCAGATTTCCCCCTGCATTCGCAGAGTTTGTGTTCTAGTAGTTCTGGGAGTGGGCTGGGTATGTTTTAAACATGAATCCTAGGTAGTTCTCAACGGGGCTCCTGTTTCTGACATCCATCATTGACTGGCTGTGTAGCCCTGGACAAGGCACTCTCCCTCTCCTATCTCAGCTTCCTCGATTGTCTTTACAAGGATGCTGAGCAGTTTTAAGTCTCAGAGGATGGGAGAGTAGCATATTTAGGGAAAGGTGTGAAATATTTGACAAGGGTGGCGTGTGGCTTGGCTTGAGCCTTCTGGCCTGTCATCCCCAAATTGTCCAAAGACCCCTTTATATCCCTCCTCTTCACCACAGCCTCCAACTTTTAGAAGGTACTGCTTGTGAACCCTGAATTCATAAACATGAATTTTTTGTTACCCCAAGTTTTAGTAATCAAAAATAAGTATATTGGCGAGTGCATTCAGTACCAGGCACAGTTTTAGGTCCTGTGGATGTGTCACTCAATAAGACAGACAAAACCTGTACCTTCATGAAACTTACACTTTAGCCCTGCTCTGCTCAGTGCCGTAGCCACTAGCCATGTGTAGGTACTTAAATTTAAATTAGTTAGAAACAAAAAACTCAGCTCCTCAGTCTCTCTAGTGTTTCCAGTGCTCTGAAGTCCTGTATGGCGAGGACTACCATATTGGACAGCGCAGATATAGAACATTATTATCATCTCAAAGTCCTGTTAGACAGTGCTGCTCCGGAAGGCGAGACGGATTCTCATCTATAGTGTCAGGCTGTGCAGAATGCTGCGATAAGGGGAGGGGCTGTCGTAGCCAGAGTGTCAAGGAAGCCTCCCTGAGGAGGCAGCGTGTGAGGACAGCGAGAGAGCTCCCTGAAGTTAGGAAGTGTGTAGACACGGCCCAGTCTCGGGAGTGGGAGCTGCTTGGTGAGTTTGTGGAGCAGCCTGGCAGCCAGCTTGGCTGCAGTGAAAGGACTGAGGAAATGAAGTTGGTGAGTTGGGGGGCGGGAGGGGGATTCAGACTGTCTACAGCCTTGTGAGCACTTAGGAGCTTATTCTTAGTGTGATGGGATGGCGGTGGCAGGGCCTGAGCTATAGCAGTGGAGCGATGAGAGGGGGTTGACTGTGGGTTATTGTTTGGAGGTAGAGCCAGTGGAGCTTGGAGTAGATGAGTTTAGGGTGTGAGAGAAAGCAATGAGTTAACGGGTACTCCAAGGTTTTTGTCACTTGGGAGGGCCGGGCGTAGTGGCTTATGCTTGTAATCCCAGCATTTTGGGAGGCTGAGATGGGAAGATTGCTTGAGGCCGGAAGTTGGAGACCAGCCTGGGCAACATAGCCAGAGGGAGTGTGATCATAAAAGTCTTCATCCCATCATCTTCATGTTAAGTAGGGGTGAGAGGAAGGGGTCAATCTTGCTGCCTCGGGTGGCAGAGACTAAAGAAAGTCCACGTATAAGTGGACCCTCAAAAGTTCAAACCAGTGTTGTTCCAGGGTCAACTGTATATATGTTCTTATTTTCCCCTGTCTTACAACACTGGTAGAATATCATACACACTGTTCTGCCTCCTTTATTAATATTTTACTTACTGTATCTAGGACTTCTTTCCATATTCGTATACAGTATTCGTATAGAGTGCCTTCATTCTGTCATCTTGTTGTTGTTTTAACTTTTTATTTTGAAATAATTTTAGATTCAAGGGAGTTGTAGAAATAGTACATCCAGCTTTTCCCAATGGGACATCTTCGATAACTCTAGTCCAGTATCAAAACCAGGAAATTGGCAGTACAATTCTGTTAACTAGACTACAGACCTCGTTCAGTTTTCAGCGTCTTTCACACGTGCTCCTGTGTGTGTGTGCGCTTTGATCCCTTGCATAGATTTATGTAACCCCCCTCACAGTTGGGATATAGAACAGTTCCTCTCCACAAAGGAACTCCACGTGCTTCCCCTTTATCCTCAGCCCTCCCCAACCCCTGACAACCATGAATCTGTTCTCTATCTCTAGTGTTGTTATTTGGAGAATGTTGTGTGAATGGAATCACATAGTGTGTTACCCTTTTTCCACTAAACAAAATACCCCTGAGAATCACCCAAGTTGTTGCTATATCAGTACTTCATTTCTTTTTATCATTGTGTAGTATTTCATCCTCATTTGATATTTTTCCTTTTAACATTTATTTATTTCAGTAACAGCTTTATTGAGATATAATTCAAATATCATACAATTTTCCCATTTAAAGTGTACAATTCAGTGATTTCTTAGTATATTCCGAGTTGTGCAGTCATTACCACAATCAATTTTAGAACATTTTCATCACCCCAAAAAGAAAGCCCCAGAGCCTTTAGCTCTCATTCATTCAATTTTAACCCTGCACAGTATTCCACCATATGGTTGTACCAGTATTTCGGGAACCAGTTCCCTGTGGATGGACATTCCACCAGTTTCCAATCTTTTCTCCTTACAAATAGTACTGCAGCAAGTAACTTCATACTTACATCACTTGGCCCACATGTGAGTGTCTCCGTGGGTGCAGTTCACAGAAGTGGAGTTGCCATTCTCATAGAGATGCCAGGTGTCCCTCCAGAAACACTGACCAGCTTGTCCCCACTCCCTCAACCCAGCAGTAGGGAGAGTTAGAGGCCATCCTTGAAAATCCTGAGTTCCACAGTAAAGAGGAACATGGGTTTGGGAGCCAGGCACACCTGGGTTTGAAGCCTTAGACCCCAGCTGTGTCCCTCTGTCCTCAGTACCTTCTTCTGTGAAGTGGGGATGACCTCACTTCTCTAAGGGCTGGCTCGAGGACTGAGGATGTTTGAGCATGTGATCAGCTTGTCAAACTTCGCTTTGGCTTCTTAGTAAATGGCCGTTTCTTCCTCCTTCCCTCACAGCTTAGTCCAGTGGTTAAGAGGTAAGCTGGTGGGGTGGGGGGGGCAGGCAGATCTGGGAAACTTAATAGACCTGAGTCAAGTCCCTTTAACCTCTCTAGGCCTCAGTTTCCTTGTCTGTAACAAGATTGTTGTGGAGATTCAATAGAACTGAGAATGTAAAGTACCTAGCCGGGTGAGCACTCAAATAATAGTGGTCATAGTAGTAGATATTCCCTTCTCTCCTTTCCCATTAGGATTTTGGTGGCTAAGTCCCTAACCTACCTTCCTTGTGAACTGTTTGGTGGAAAAGCCTGGCCTACTGCCTGCTCCCCAAATGGCCCTGAGGCACCTTATTTGGAGTTTTCTGATTCCAAGATTGAGTATGAGTTCCTGCTGCCAAGGCTGTGTTGGCCGAGGCTGTGGGAGAGGAGTGCAGACTCAGAGAGGCCGGGGGGTGCAGGTCAGAGAGCACCGATTTCAGAAAACTAGAGGGACCCCCATGGGCCAAAAGAGATTCCAGCAGTCCACCCAGAGGTCCTGCTAATACTTCTTTGTTTTAATGTTTGTATTTACAGTAGAAGGAAAGGCTCGGTTCCAGTTAGATGTTTGCAAAAATAAAGTTGTAATTTCTTTCCCATCAAATTTCATTCATTTCTTGAATTCTGTTGGACTCCTGGGGGGTGGTGGGTATGTTCTGTGTTCCCCAGATTAAGAACCCTTCCTTTAGGGTTACTCCAAACTGTAGAAACCCTAGTGACTATTATTGATTTCATTAAGTAATAGATTTATTTTTTAAAATACACTTAATTTAAAAATTATAGTTTGAAGGTGTAACGTATTCAGATGGCTCTGAACACAAAACGGTACATGGTGAAAGGTCTCCAGTGTCTGTCTCTCCCAAGATGACAGCATCACCAGTTTTTTGCTTCCCAGGAGAGATGTTCTGTGCACATTCAAGCAATACATTTATATTCTCTCTTTCTTGTACAGTATAGGAGTGTGCTCTCCATGGTGTTCTGCCCTCTGTTTCCATTAACAACATACCTTAGAAATTGTTCAACACCTGATTTATGTAGACCAATGGGTACAATTTTATGAACTGCCGTGTTTTGTGGTCATTTTAAGACATTATGTAATCACCTTAAAACAATTTTTCGCTAACTTTAACTTTCCCTAAACTGAATAAACCCTTCTGGCCCTCAGTGTGTTCTCCATACGCGATGGGAAGCAGGCTCCGTCTGGTAAAGAAGGCATCTTTTCTGTTTCTCTGATCTGGAACTTTCACTCTTCACAGAGTAAAAGGAGTTTCTTCTTAAAGAATCATATTTCTGATTTTGTTGTTCTGTTTCTTTTTTTCTCTCTGAAAGAAGGGGTTTTATGTGTTTGGATCTCTGCTCAACCAATATCCACACCAGCTATTTGGATTTCTGTTTCAAGAACAGCTGACAGGAGAAGAGAAGAATTGGACAGGAAGAGAGAATTCTGACACCAACATGCAGCGAAGTATCATGTAAGGGCCCTACCATACCCCCCAGTCCTTCTTCTCTAAATCTGTGCCTTAAAAAAAAAAAAAAAAACTCAAGGTAGACTTCAAGTTGGAATTTCCAGGAGTTGAGTAGTATGGAAAATGGAGAGTGAAGTATGGAAGACATTAGTGTATTGAACATAACTTTTTAATTGCAAGAGACAGAAACCCTAACCCAGTGGTTCTCAGTCAGCAGCAGTTTTGCTCCCCAGGGAGCATCAGGCAATGTCTGGAGACATTTTCTGTTGTCACAACTTAGGAAAATGGAGGTTTGCCATTGGCGTCTAGTGGATAAAGGCCAGACATGCTGCTAAACATCCTTCAGGGCTCAGGACAGCACCCCCACAGCAAAGAATGATTCAGCTTAAAGAATCAATAGGGTCTAGGTTGAGAAATGTCATGCTAACACCAGCAGGCTTCAGGGAAAAAAAGAAAGGGAATTACTTGGCTTAGGTAGTTGAAACCTTCTAGAGTAAATAGCCTCAGACTTGTTTGGATCCAGTTGCCAGAACTTTGTCACTGGGAATCTGTTTCTCTCCATTGTTCAGCTCAGCTTTCTTCAATGTTGTTGTCCCTCAAGGGGGGCTCTCCCTGGGTTATCGATCCCAGTGGAAAGAGGGTGTCTCCCTCCCAGCTGTCTCAACAATATCTAGAGTCGAGTTTCACTGGCCCAGCTTGGGTCACATATCTCTCCTGAACCAGCCACTGCAGCCACAGGGATGCAGAGCTCCGATTGGCCAGTCTGGGTCGTATGTCCACCCTCAGTTGTAGGTAAAAGGGCAGGCCCACTCAAATCTTGTGTATTGAGAGAATTCGGGGTAAAATGCATCCCAGGAGGAAAATGGGGGGGGGGGGCTGTTACCAGAGCGAGGGAATCGAGGAATGGATGGTAGGCAGACCTAGACCTGGACACCCACCACAGAAACTTGGGAAATGGTGGCTTATACCAATCCTGCGTTACATTTTTCTCATATGAAAAATCTGGGGATGGTCTATCAAGGGCTGATAGCGCCTTAGATTGCTTTCTGTCTGCTTGCTTTGCTTTATTTTCTTTTTCTGTTTTTTTAAAGATTAAGTAAACTTTTTATTTTGGAATAATTTTAGATATACAGAAAAGTTGTAAAGATGGTATAGAGTTCCTGTATACCCCTCACTCAGTTTCCGTTGTTGACATCATACATTACTATGATCCATTTCTAACAACTAAGGAACCAACATCAGTATATTACCATTAATTAAACTCTACGCTTTATCGTTCAGATTTGACCAGTTTTTTTTTTTTTTAATTAATGTCCTTTTCTGTTCCAGGATCGAATTCAGGGTACCATGTTGCGTTTAGTTGTCACATCTGTCTCCTCTGGGTGACAGTTTCTCAGGCTTCCCTTGTATTTTATGATCTTGTCAGTGTTGAGGAGTACTGACCAGGTACCCTGTAGAATATCCCCCAATTTCAGCGTGTGCAGTATTATCATGATTAGGCTAGGGTTATGGGCTTTTGGAAAGATACCACTGAAAGATACTGCCTCGTGTCAGGGCTGCATAACATCCCTGTGATGTCACGCAAAGCCAACCTTCATCACTTGGTTAGGGGAGTGTTAGCCAGGCCTCTTCACTGTAAAGTTCCTATTTTTCCCTCTCAGTACTTTCTCCTTTGGAAGCAAGCTCCTCAGTCTAGGCGATCTCAAGTTAGTTGGAAGGTACCTCGCTTTACTTATATTTTTCAGAGCACATTGCACCTCTTGAAATTTTATATTTAGTTATTTGCTTAATATTTGCCACCTCCCCTAGAGTGTTAGCTTCTTGAGGTCAGGAACTTTATGTGTCTGGGTCACTGCCAAATCGCTTAGGCCCAGGAAAGGCCCTAGTGCATAATAAGTGCTCAGTTAATATTTGTTGGATGAAAATCAGGGTGTGTTGTATCTCTCAGATGAGTCAGGACGGAAAAATAAGTAGAATGTTGCCTCCTCTGTCTGAGCCTCAGTTTCCTTGTCAGTCAAAGGGATTGATTGAAATCCTCTGTTACACGCTGGAATGGGAAAGGGTGTTGGAAGCTGTAGGGTGCGGCATGGATAGACGGGGTATTGGTGCTGTTATCATTCCCTTTTTTCACCTCTTACACTCCTCTAGGTCATTTTTCCACCCCAAGAAAGAGGGTAAAGCGAAGAAGCCTGAGAAGGAGGCATCCAACAGCAGCAGAGAGACGGAGCCCCCTCCAAAGTATGCAGTAGGGCCGGGACATGGTGAATTTTTTCCTTTAGCAGTCAGAATCCTCTTGGTTGCAAGTGTTAAAAACTTACTTCAAGGCCGGGCGCGGTGGCTCATGCCTGTAATCCTAGCACTCTGGGAGGCCGAGGTGGGTGGATTGTTTGAGCTCAGGAGTTCGAAACTAGCCTGAGCAAGAGTGAGACCCCGTCTCTACTAAAAATAGAAAGAAATTAATTGGACAACCAAAAATATATAGAAAAAATTAGCCGGACATGGTGGTGCATGCCTGAAGTCCCAGCTACTCAGGAGGCTGAGGCAGTAGGATCGCTTGAGCCCAGGAGTTTGAGGTTGCTGTGAGCTAGGATGACGCCACGGCACTCTAGCCCAGGCAAAAGAGTGAGACTCTGTCTCAAAAAAAAAAAAAAAAAAAAAACTTACTTCAAAATGTCTCAAGCCCCAAAAGAAATTTTGTGATAGGTTGTGTCTGTGTCCCTCTCCGGACTGGGAGTCCTCAGAGCCCGTGTCAGGAAAGTAGTTGAGCTGCTTTAACAGTAAACAAAGTCACAGTGATTTGGTTAAAATAAAAGTTCCTCTTTTCTCACTTGTAAGACTTTGAGTTGTTCAGGCAATTTAGGGCAGGTAGGTGACTCTGTACCACTAGGTTGTCCCAGATCCAGATTCCCTCATCTTCATTGCCAAAGCAAATCTGAGGTCCACAGGTAAGATGACATGGACGCTAGCATTCAGGAGCAAGTTGCATGTGTCCTTCATGCCACTTACATGCTATTGCTCAGAACTCAGCACGTGGCCATGTGTAGCTGCAGGGGAGGCTGGCAAGCCTAGTCCCTAGCTGGGTGACCATGTGCCTTGCCAAAACTCGAGCTTGTGTGACTAAAAGAAAGAAAGTCTCCAAATGAATGTTGGAGGCCAGTCTCTGCCCTAGGTAGGAGCTCCATTTGCTCCTCAGCATCACCCGTCACAGGGTGGACATTCAGGGGGCCTTTGGACATGTGATGGAGTGATAGACGGATGAATGGCTGGACGATAGAGTGTTTGCCAAGGAGGCATCTAGAAAATGTTCATTGAATGCATTGAAAGGAAAGGGAAGGAAACGTGGTGAAGAAGACGGAGGGTTTGGGGGCAGTGCCCCCACTCTACCTGCTGTGAGACCCACCCACCCCACCTTTCCCACTGTCCAGAGCAGCGCTGAAGGAGTGGAATGGAGTGGTCCCCGATAACGACTCTCCAGTGAAGAGGCCGGGGAGGAAGACGACCCAGGTCTTGGGCAGCGAAGGGGAGGAGGACGACGAAGCCCTGACTCCCCCCAAAGGAAAGGTAGGTCCCATTAGCCTGCCCATTTTTACCAGAAGAAACCATAATTCCCATTAGCCTTTGGAACTGAGTGCAGCAGCTGCTCAGGAGAATTATGGAGATGTTTCCCAGGAGGCGGATGAGTTTAGTGGCTGTGCCTGGGGGACGGACGACCTGGCTCTAACTCTGCCCCTGCCAGGGACCTTGAGCAGTCTCTTTGACTTCCCTATGCCTCGGTTGCCTCGCCTGTAACATGCAGCTCCTGGTAACACCTTCCTCATGGGGTGGCTGGGAAGATGAAATGAGTCATTTCACATACAGATCCGAGAATAATGCCTGATTTAAAATAAGGGTTCAGAAATATATGCAGTCTCTCCTGTGGCCAGAGGGCTTTTCATCCTCTCCAAATATGTTGGATCACTTCCTTCGCTTGTTTAAAAGTCATTTAATGCTTGTTCATTGCTCTGTGGGTAATGTCCGAAGTGCAGCACTTCTCAGTCTGCCACTGGTGAGGTACTGTCACTCCCTGCAGGAAGCGCTGATGTGACCATCCTCAGGCCAAGCCAGTCCTTGTGCAGACACACCAGGCCCCTCACAATCTGCCTGTCTCCCCCTGCCCGACACTCTTCAACTTCATCGACACGTCTTCCTCGGCTCACTCCATCTCTCCCACTTCTCATGCCTGCCCGGTGGGCTCCACCTCTGGATCACTTGCTCTTTTCCCTGCCTAAAACTCTATTTCCCAGATACACATGTGGCTCGATCCCTCATTTTCCTCGAGGCTTTGCTCAGATATCACCTTCTTGGTGAAACTTTCCTGATGGCCTGTGTTAGTTTCCCATTTTGCTGCTATAACAATTTACCACAAACATAATGGCTTAAAGCAATGTAAGTTTATTATCTTATAGTTCTAGGGGTCAAGAGTCTGAAATGGGTGTCACTGGACTAAAATCAAGAAGTCAGCAGGGCCGCATTCATTTCTGGGGGCTCCAGGAAAGGATCCACTCCCTTCCCTTTTCCAGCTTCTAGAGGCCTGCTTTTCTCCATTTTCAAAGCTAGCAGCATTGCCTCTTTCTGTGCCTTTCTTTGGTGGTCGCATCTCAATCTGACTCTCTTCTGCCTTCCTCTTCCACATTTAAGGACCCTGTGATTACAATGGGCCCACCTGGATAACCCAGGCTGATCATCCTATCTTGAGGTCAGCTGATTAACAGCCTTGATTGCCATTTGCTAATTCCAAAGATAGCACATGGATGCCTTTAGGAGCTTGGACTTTGCCTTCGGACTGCTAGGGAGCTATGGAAGGGTTTTGAGTAAAAGAGAGCTAGAGGTAGCTTGGTCCTGGGCAGTGTTTGAAATATCCCTGTGAGCCTTGTATCCATCAAGGTCTCAACACACGGAAACCGCACCAGTGATTTAAACGGAGGGAATTCAATGTAAAGCATTGTCAACTAAGCATGCAGTTGTTCACTAGGTAACTGAAGGGATAAAAAGAGAACCCCGAGGCATCATGGAGGTAGCAACTGCAGGATGCAGCTACCACCCCCTGTGGCTGTGGAGCTGAAACGCAGACCTCTGTGGCAGGAATGCTGGCAGGTGGCTGCTGGGGTCCCTGAGCTTGGAGGAGGTGACCTGAGGACCTGGGACTCGGATCTTTGAGGAAGCGGGCCCTGGGCAGGAGGTGCTGGTGTCTGATGGGGCATCACATAGCAGGCCCTGCAAGTGTTGGAAAAATTATTAGTTGAATCCAGCAGCTGCCCCAGCTGTGCCTTCAGTCATGCAGTCCCCTCTAGTGCCCCTGTGTTAGGTACTTTCTGACACAGCTGGCTGCCAGAGCAAGAAGGAGGTTTATAGAGTCCTGGTCCTGTCATCACAAGGGAGACTGGAGAGCAACAGGCTTGGAGCTGAGACATAGTCACTTAATAACCTGGTATGGGGCCAGTTATTAAGTCAGTAGTTAAAACCAAGACACAGTAACAGTGGCTTAGGCAAGAGATTTATCTTCCTCGCTAATGAACACACAAAGTCCAGGATCCATATGGCAGTCTCAGAGTCAGAGGGCCAGGCCTCTTCTATACTATTGCTTGTCACCCCTAGTTGCCCTTGTCCAAGTGAGTATCCATATTCAGCTAGCAGGAAGAGGAGGGCACTCGACTTTTAAATGGATGTTATTTGAACCAAGAGACATGTACATCATTTCCCTTCACATCCCATTGTGTAGAACTGATGCTTATTACCAGTAGCTCTAAGGGAGGCTCTGAAATGTAGTCCTTAGGCCCCTGACCATACCTAGCTGCAAGGGAGGCTGGGAAATATAGTCTTTACTTGAGATATCATATGCCTAGCCAACAATCAAAGATTCTATTACTTTAGAAAGCAGAATTGTTATTGGGGTCTATGATGGGAGAATCTGGGACCGTTTTATTATACTGGAGGGTGGAGTGATTGCCCAGGTGAGAGAAGACGAGGCCTGAGCTGAGGCTGGAATCATGGGGCCAGAAAGGAGGGTAGGCATAGAGAGAGGTTTGGGAAATATAGCCCTTCCTTTCCCCTGCTCACCGTAGAATTGCTCTTTCTTTTTTCTTCTAGAAACCTGCCCCAGACTGCCTGAAAGTCTCCCCTCCTGGTCCTGCCACATCTCCTGAGAACAGCACTTCCCTCTCTGACTCCTCTCCCATGGGCATCTCCCCACTGGGGATCCTGAAGCGCCGCACAGGTAGGGACACATGGGCTCCTGCTCTTTCACCTGCCTGTCTTTCTCCCCACTTTGATTTCGGATCCAGGTGGACATCCTTACAACAGCTCTGATCTTGGTGTTGTGGATAAGAGCACAGCTCTGCCATCCATCTGCTGTGTGATCTTGGGTAAATGACTTACATTCTCTGAGCTTAGGTTGCTTTATCTATAAAACAAAGATGATAATTACAGTACCTACCACACAGAAATGTCAGGAGAGTTAAAAGTTAACACTTGTAAAGTGCTCAGAACTGGGGCCAGCCCACAGTCAGCACCCAGTAAATGTTGGTCATTGTGAGTGTTGTTATGTGCAGTGGTGGACGCCACACAGCTCATAGTGGGAACACAAGGGTGGGGCCTCGGCTCAAAGGAAGCTTCTGGAAGAGAGATTAAGCAAGCTGAGCCCTGAAGGACAAAGAAAAGGCAGCAGGGAGAGAAGGGAAGAGAGTTCTAGGCAGGGAGAGAGTATGAGCTGAGAAGGCTCTTGAGGACTGCGAATGGTTTGGTGCGCTGGCACAGAGAGCGCAAGGTTGGGGACGATGAGCCATGAGGCAAGAAGGTTCTGGAAAAACAGCCTGAGGAACAGCATCTTTGTCCCAGGAGGGATTGGGAAGGTTTGGTATTGCAGAAGGATGGGGGAGAGATCCGCACGTAATGCAGGGTGGTGTGAGCAGCACTGCCCGACGTGGCCTGCTGAGCCTTGAAACATGGCGACTCTGACGGGCTGGATCTTCACTGTCCTATCATTTTAATTAAATCTACATTCGAAAGCTGATCCTTGATTCAGTTAGTGAAGACTTTCCAGTATTTTTGGAACAACTTGGGGTACCTAAACACAGATCAAGTATTTCTGATGAAAATTTTGTGTCCGAATTGAGATATGCAGTGAGTTCATCAGATTTGGGAGACTTAGCATGGAAAAAGAATGTTAACGATATTGAAAATATGTTGGAACTATATTGTTTGGGATATATTGAGTTAAGTAAAATATATTGTTGAAACTAAGGGTTTTTTTCCTCTTTTCATTAATGTGGCTTCTAGAAAGTTTAAGATTACGTGGCTTGCCAGATCCTTCCATCGGATGGTGTTGGTAACGCAGGGCGCTCTGGGAGCTCAGAAGTCAGCCCACTCAGAGGAGGTGATGTCTGAGCCGAGTGTTACAAGATGGGTTCGGGTGGGCTGTGTTGAGAAAGGGCAGGTGGAAGAAGGTGTTTCAGACAAGGACGGCATGTAGAAAGGCCATGAGGTAGGAGCAGCATGTTTGGGGACTCACACTTCAGTGTTTCTGGAGGATCACATGTGCTTGGGGGAGCAGGGAGAGTTTGAGGATAGTGCGTGGTGAGAGATGAGCTAGAGAGGAGAGGGGGCGGCTGGATCCCAAAGGCCCTGCACACCCGGCGGACGAGCCCAGGCTTTGTCCTGGGGTGCTGGGGGGCCGGGGTGTAGCTGTGAGCCGGGTGTGACAGGGTCAGGCCTGCGTGAAGGGGGTCGTGAGGAAGTAACAGAGCGAGTGGCTCAGGTCGTGCTGGGACCTCAGCGCAGACACTAAGGTCGGCCCTAGGAGCATGTCAGGGAATTCTTTTCAGAGGCAGTGACATTGAGCTGTGTCCTAAAGGGCTGCTGAACAGCACGTGCAGGGCCTGGAGGAGTAACACAGATTGGCGTGTTCGGGAACACCGCCCGTTTAGCTTGGCGACACTGTTAAAGCGGATTCTGTGGCGTGGGAAGAGTTAGAAGGTCAGGCGGAGAGAGATTAGGTAGGATGGCAGCAGATATCCGAAGACCTTATCCTGGATGAAGTGGAGAATGTGGTGTCGCGGGAGGGTTTTGAGCAGGGAGGGACAGTGTCAGTCATGGCTGAAGGTCCCTCTGGGGCCGTGTGAAGCCACTGGGGGCCACAAGACCAGGGAGGTGCAGTGGCCTAGATGAGAGGTGATAGTGAAAATGCTCGTAACTGCTTTTCAGTGAGCTCCTCACCACGCCTTAGCGTCTCCGTTTGGAGTCCTTTACAAGCAAGGTCTGAAGCTCTGAAACAGGGATTCGAGTGCAGGTTGTTCCCTTGGGAGATGCAGGGACCAGACAGTGATCCAGGGCAGGGGAGGCAGCCAACACAGGCTGTGTTGTTAGGTCGGCCACCCCAGTGGGGTGCCCTAGAGAACAGCATGAATGTGTGCCTCGGACTTACCCCGAGGCACGAGGCAGCTGGGTGTTGATACCAACTCCCATCAGTCACCAGGTGAGGGCCACTTCCAGGGCCAGTTCATTCCCTGCCACTTCCATACTTCTGAGGTTCTGGAAAAGCTGTCTGGAACCCACCATAGTAAGATGCCAGGGACGCAAGGGGGCACTGAGAGCACCTTGCAGAGCTGGTACCGCGCCTAGCATGTTACATCATCATTTACGTGTTAGGATTATTCCCATTCTGCAGACGTGGGCGAGTGACGCACAGAGAAATTAAGTAACCTGCTCGAGGTCACACAGCCAGGAAGCAGCAGAGCTTGAAGGATGAGGCCTGTGCTGGAGCAGTGGTCGTGGGCAGGCAGAGAAGGGGACAGGGCTCAGAGTCTCTGTAGGGCACCATCGGTGGGTCTGAGCTCGGTGGGGCAGGAGCAAACAGGCCACGAGGTCAGCCACACCCAGCCCTTTGCTTTCCTAGCTCGGAAGCAACTCCCAAAACGTACAATTCAGGACGTCCTGGAAGAGCAGAGTGAGGACAAGGACCGAGAAGCCAAGAGGAGGAAGGAGGAGGAAGGTGAGGCACCAGCAGGTAAGAATTGTGATTGTGTACGCTGAGGGGACCAGGAAGGGCAAGGGCCCGCGGGTCCAGGATGTTTGGACCCCGCTGATTCGTGCCTGCGTCTAGGCATCCAGACGTGTCAGTCGGAATTCCACAGACCAACACAGGCACTTTTGCTGTGAAAGCATTTTGGAATACATTTGTTTGGTGCATTTGTTTTGCCACCTTAATTCAGTATTACTTCATACACAGTTTCCCATTCTTAGTTTCCATTTTTATATTTATTTAATGGAAAAATATTTTTCCTCTAAATGATTTCTTTTTCTTGTAAATTTTGCCATAAAGCAGAGGTTCCCGAACTTTCTTGGCTCACAGCACCTTTTGTGTCTTAGTAATTCTTTCATGGAACCACTAGGCCCATACCTTAACAGTTCCTTTTATTAAGTAGTTGTGTCCAAACAACTATTAGATAATACATATACATTGAAAGAAAAAATAATATTTGTATTTTGTACTTAAGGAACCAACCGCTTACTTACTAATGGGATGTGCACCAGGAACTGCAAAACACCTCAAGCTGTGGAATCCAGTTGAAACTGCCACCCTCATTCCCTGTCCCACGTTGATTTCTGCACAGTGCTTGATTTTTATAAAAGCAACCAGTGAATACCCCCAGCTTTACAGAGATACGTCATTGCAGGGAATGCGATCTAATACTGAAAACCAAAAGACCTCAAGCTGGTAGTTCATTTAGCGTCCAACAGATGTCGCTGGGTTTCCTTTGAAAATGTAAAATATCCTGCAGTGCCCCTGTGAGTTCGCTGCATTTTGGTGCACATGCGGGAAACAGCCATAAAGATCTGATCCGTCGATCGTTTGGGGCCTCTAGGAGAGTATATCAATTGCAGCCTCTGTCACTGTCAGGTTGTTTGTTTGTTTAACAGAAAGTCCTCACTAGGCTCATTTTTCACAGGGCAGATTTGAATTTGGTCAAGATTCGATTTCCTGTTGGCAACTTATAGTCAGTTATTGTAAATTGTGCAGTTTTAGCTATTGTCATTTGGGGGTGGGGGCAGAGAAGGAGTGACCTCTTTCTACTAAGGCAAATTTTCCCCTAGCTTTTGCAGTTTTTATTGTTACCTTAGAGGTATTTTTTTTTCAGTCAGTTTTTAAAAATTTGATTTTTGTCCATAACAAGCTGTCATATGTATTTTGAATACTTTCAAATTCTATTATGGAGTGAATAATTCTAAAAGAATAGTTTATAACTAAAAACTGACTGTGTATTTATTTCTCAGCCGCACAGGCAAACACGGGGTTTGGATTCCCTCAGAGGGCTCTGCCGGGCTCAGAGTTGAGCAGGAGCAGGGTCTTGTTCCTCCTGTCACTTTACAGACATACTTGATTGGTACCAGAAAGAACAAATTGGACCAGAATGTCTCTGGAGTCGAAATGTCCTTGGGGGTCACAGTGATTTTTCACCATCTCACTTTTCTGTCTGTCATCAGAAGCAGAGACCCCAAAAGAAAGCCTAACAAAGGCTGAAGTGGCAACAAAGAAAGAAGCAGAAGAGGGGGACCAGCCCACGACACCTCCCAATTCCGTAGAGACCTCCAGTGAGTTTCTCATCTTCTTTCTGCCCCCAGCCCAATCTCCCTGATTTCGAGGTCAGATATCTTGTGTGTGTGTGTGTGTGTGTGTGTGTGTGTGTGTGTGTGTGTGTGTGTGTGTCATCTCAGTGTTGCCCAGGCTAGTCTCAAACTCCTGGCCTGACAAAGTCTTCCTCCCTCAGCCTCCAAAAGTGCTAGGATTCCAGGCGTGAGCCACTGTGCCCGTCCAGGTCAGACGTCTTTGGAGGGCAGTTAATTTAAACAAGGCTTAGATTCTCAATTGTATTGTTTAAATGCGGAATCTAGGAGAATCATAGGGTTTGTTATTGTTACTGGTTTTTTTCAATTATTTTCCCTCGTGAATGCGGGAAAAGAGGAAAGAGCCAATCATTCTCCAACAAATATTCATAACTTTCAGAAATCATATTAAATGTTATTGATCGAGCAATAATTTATGAACTAAGCTGAGGTATGGGATTATTAGTTAATAACTATGTTATTAAGCACTAATTTATTAACCAAACTGAATTATGGTATTTTAGAGGTTCAGCTATTCTCACAGCCCATAGAATGACCCCTCCAGTCCAGGGGTCCATGAAACCCCTCTGTTGGAAACAACACTTGCAGGGATGATTTTAGGTATGTAGAGTTGCATCTGATTTTCTGCACCTTCAGAAGCAGGAATATTTTCTTCTAATCATGGTGAGATTTCTTTTTGCCACTATTCCTAAGTCTCCAATTTCAGGCCAAATGCTGGAATTTCATTAGTTAGCACTGAGTAGTAAACATCAGGCCTGAGAGCTCAGCTCAAAACTTATGCTACAGAAAGGAAAAGGACAGAATTGGTTATATCTTCCATCTATAGAGTCAGAATGACTGTGGGGTTAAAAAAAGTCCCGGAGTCAAAACAGTTTGCATCATCATCTCACCTCTCTCGCTTTAGAAGCAGAGAAGCCGAAGGAAAGCGGTTCAGAACCCGAGGTGCCCGTGAAGCAGGAAGCACCGGAGGACGAGACTAAGCCTACCCCCAGAGCCCCCAGGACACTCAGCAGCTTCTTCAGTGAGTCTCTCTTCCTCGCCTCATCTCCCCAGGGTTGTGCAGGCAGGAGGTGGGTGAGCTTCCCTCCAGAGCGCTGCACATCCCATCTGGCTTTCCTGCTGGTTGGAAAGTGTACCTCCTCTCTCCTGGCTTGTCACCTCTCTCCCCAAGCGTTAGGGCAGTGCTGGGTGGAGGACGGCTGGAAGGGTGGGTGCCATTAGAAGGAGAAAAGACCCGCCGTTTCCTGGTTTATTCCCAGCACCCCGGAAGCCAGCAGTCAAAAAAGAAGTGAAAGAAGAGGGGCCGGACACTCCAGGGAAGGAGAACAGCAAGGGGTGAGTCAATATCTGGGTCTGGAAAATGTCTTCTGGGCATGTTTCCTTCCCTGCATTCCCAGCTCAGGCTTCCTCCTCTTTCAGGGCTTGGCAAACCATTCTCTGTAAAGGGCCAGATAGGAAATATTTTGGGCTTCGTAGGCCACATTTGCCCCTGTTGCACAAACACCCTTAGCTCCTAGACCATGCAAAAATAGACCAGGGGCAGAATTTGCCGACCCATCACCCCAGCCACTTTCCTGACCACCGGCCTCCAGTCTTTCATCCTCAGTCTGACCCCCACAGGGCCTGGGGGATCTTTCTGACACCACACAGTTGACCCTGCTCTGATGGCTCCCTAGTGCCCCCAGGAGAAAATCTAAACCCCTTTGGCCACTGGCCCCTGCCCACCTCTCTGGCCTCACTTCTTACCCATTTGTTCATGTCGCACTGAACTCGCCAGATTCAGAGTGTGCTTAGAAAGCCAGCAGGCACGTCTGCTCTGCGTTAAACTTTACTGAGCACCTCTCTGGGCCAGGCCTGGGCGGCCCATGGGGTGAACCATATAGAGCTGCCCTGCCCTGGCCCTTGTGATGGCGCACAGTGCATTGGGGTTGTGGCACACTGAATAGGTTGTTAAACAGTTAATTGTCTCATTGTAATTGTGTTAGTTCTTTGAAGAGATGTCTGGGCCGATTCCCATGACGCCTGATAGGTACACAGGAGGCTTCGCTAAAGATTGGTTGAATGAATGACTGGATGGATGGGTGGATAGATAAATATCATATAAAGTAATGGGATCAAACCCCACCCCTACCTTGCTCAAAACCCATCTGCGATTCCCAGCACGCCAGGATAAACACTGGGCTCCTTGGGGCCCTGTGAGTTAGCCCTGCCCACCTCACATCACAGCTTCCTGCCATCCCCAGCCGCCGCCTCGCTCCGGCAGCACCATTTCCTGTCATACCTCCCTGCTTCTGAGTGTGCTGGCCCCTGCCTAGAGCACTGTCCCCAGCCCACTCCGCCCAACGTACTTCCTCAGGCCCCTGCTTGGGGAAGCCTGGTGCCTCTTCCTCCATCACAGCCGGTGTGTGTCCCCAGCACTTGAGTCGCACTTTCTTTCACGTCCCATCACGTGGTAAAGCCCCTCTTCAACCAGACTGCAAGCTCCTTCCCACAGAGTCAGGACCGGGCTGAATCCTCTTGCCCAGCTCCTGGCACTGGGGCCGGCCCATAGGAAGCACAGGCAATGTATGATGAACAAATGGATTTAATGGGGCACTTTTAGATTTTCTTCTCATTTTTTACTCATTTTCTCAATCATGGATTTATTCATTTACTCAATTAATATTCATTAAGGATTCATTGTGTGTCAAGCAGTGGTTTTAAGTGCTGGAAATCTAGCAGAGAACAAATTAGACAAAAATCATGCTTTTATTGAGCTTGTTTTCTAATGGAGACAGGGTATAAAGAATAAATGAGCAAAATCTGTCATATGTCACATGGTGATAAGCGCAGTAGTGGAGAGTAAAGCAGGAACAGCTCAGGGACAGGGGGAGGGAGAGGTTGCAAATTTCAATAGGGAGGTCAGGGAAGACCTCACTGGGAAGGGGGAAGTTTGAGTGAAAGACTTGAAAGAGATGAGGAATTGAGCTCTGGGGGAAGCATGTTCCAGGCTGAGAGAATAGCAAGTGCAAAGGCCCTGCGGTCAGAGCACGCCTGTGGTAATTCAAGGGGGAAGTAGTACAAGATGAAGTCCGAGGTGTCTGGGCCAGCCTATGGCAGGGCCTTGTAAGCCTCTGTCAAGACTCTGGTTCTTAGGTCGGATTTTAGAGGGGTTGTGAAAAGTCACTGGTGTAATCTCATTTGTACTTTAATGGGATCTCTCTGGCCGCAGCGGTGAGAATATAGTCTAAATAGTATCGAGGGTGGAAGCAGAGAGACCAGAGAAGAGTTTATTGTGATAACCAAGACAAGAGATGGTAGAGGTACTAAGTGCTGGATTTTGGATCCTGTCTTAGCAGGTGGGATTTGCAGCAGATGGACGAGGAATATGAACTAAAGAGAGGAGTCAGGGCTGCCACCAAGTGTTTGGGCCTAAGCACTGGGGAGGACAGAGTTGCCATTGACTGAAACAGGGAAGACGGGGTGGGAAGAGCAGGTTTAGGACAGAAGTTTTGCCATCATTAAGCTGGAGACATCAGACATCCACGTGCAGAGATGAAGGGTGCAGTTGGATGTGAGTCTGGATTTCATCGCAGAAGTTGAGGCTGGAGATGAAGAGTTGGGAATCAACAACAGACAGATGGAATTTAAAGTCGAGACTGGAGGTGATCACCAGGGGAGTGACAGTAAATAAAGAGGAGAAGAGGCCTGGCATCTGAGCCCCGAGGCGAGCCAACTTTAACAATAGTAGGAAATTAACAGGAAAGGCAAAAAGTCGGGTTTGGCATAATTTCTGCTGTTTAGCAGAAAGGACACTGGGATAAAAAGTAGAATGCAGTGAGTCCAAAATCTCTGATTTTATTTCATGCCTCCAAAAATGGAACATAAAAGCACAAAAAAACTTTCAGCTTTAAAATTCTATGATTAAAGTTTAATTATCCTAATAAAAATGTTTGGGGGATTCTAAACATCAATTTTGCACCCCAAGTTGAGATCTTATTCATGAGGTTAAATGAATGGTACATTAACTTTATGTCTGCAGTATTCCTATGGAGGAAGGGGATATTTTAGCCATTTTACAGACATCAGAACAATTAGCCCAGAGAGGTTAGGTCAGCTTCCCCAGGTCACACAGGGAGGTGGGGGTAGCGCCAGGCCTCAGACCTGTGTCTCCCTGATTCCTAAGCAGCTCTGTCTTCACCATTGCCACATTGTGCCTCCTGGGCGCATGTCTGTATTTATGTATTTGTAAATATATTTTTCTAACGAAATTGGTGTCCGACTATATATAAAAGCTTTATGTCCTGTTTTCTATTTCAAGTGATACTGTGACCATTTTTCTTGTGCCATTTCTAACACGATTGCTTGTCCTCTGTCTCTAATGGCTGCCTCCTGGAGACAGAAACACCTCGAGGACCTCCCCTTCCCTCCCCTTTCAAATGCTCACCCCGTCTCCTATTCTGCCTCGATGTCTCTCAGGCCTTCTCCGACCACCCCCTGAAATAGCACCTCCCATCCTACCCTCTGCCCCCATGTGGCTTTATTTTGTTCTCTGGAACTTTTTTTTAAACACCTAAAATTATTTACTTGTTTCTGTGTTTTTGGTTTGTTTTCTTTTTCCTGACTCTCGCACTGGAACCTAAGCTTCGCGTTAGCAAACTTTGTTGTCATTCACGTCTGCGCCCTTGCACCCTGAGCAGTGCCTGGCACATCATAATGGGAGGACTGACTCCTCCCTGGCCCAGGGATCTACCCAGTTATCTCCCTTTTGCCTCCACAGACCCCTGGACCCAACCAGCTACAATCCTGCCAAGAACAACTACCATCCCGTCGAAGATGCCTGCTGGAAACCAGGCCAGAAGTGAGGCTTCTCCCTCCCCAGCCTGCCTGCTCCAGCCTCTGTTACTGTGGGGGGCTTTCAGCCGGAGCCTTGCTTGGAGGAAACGGTCATGCCTCTCCCTCCTGTGTTTTGGGGACACAGCAGCTTTGAAAGGGACAGAGAGACAGCCCTGGGCAGTGAGCAGGGCTGCTCTCGTGCATTTGGGTGTTGGCAGGGCTGTCCCCAGGGAGGTGTGGGGAAGTGGCATGGACGGGGGACAGTGTAGGCTGTACACATGGCTCTTGCGTCTCTTTTTCTTCCCCAGGGTCCCTTATCTGGCCGTGGCCCGAACATTTGAGAAGATCGAGGAGGTTTCTGCTCGGTAATTAATCAGGCCTGCCTGGGTGGGGGCTCTTCTGTCTCTGTCCCTTGCATCGCGGTTGGTGCTGCCTCCTAGTGCCTGACCCTTCCAACCTGGCCTCTCCCCACACTCAGGCACAATGTCGTGGACCACAGAGGTCACGAGAATGGCTACAAGTCTTCTCGACTTTTGGCCTCATTCTCTTAGCCAAAGCAAGACACAAGGTTGAGCCCAGATCCGTGGGGTAGGGAAATAAGCTCCACCTCGGGATGGCTGGAACTGCAGAAACTGTGTGATCATTTTAAATCAACCTTAAGTCATCAAAGATGACTTCAGTCTTGCCGCCATGTCTCCGTGTTAGTGAAAGGAAGTTGGGTCTTGGTTACAGCGATGACCCCCTTCTCACCTGCAGAGGTTCCCCCCAGACACCCCCACTCCCAGTGATGCCCGACCTGGTCCTTCTCGGCAGCATATTAGCGTCACTGATCCACACCCAGCTCCCTTCTCTGTCCCCAGTCCTGTGCCCCTGCTTGTCTTCCCCAGCCCAGCACTCACCCCTGTGTGTTTAGTTTATGTGAATATTATCGTGGGGCCCACCTCGTTCCGCTTCACACTTTCACTCTCAACCTCATTTTCACATCTTCCCGTGTTGGTTGAAGTAGATCCCAGCTTGCTTTAACTGCTCTGTAGTATTCCTTCATTTTCATTCATCACATGTTGTTTTTCAGTCCCCCAAAATTGGTGGAGCATTTTAGGCTGTTCTCAATGCTTTTTTTTTTTATAGATGTGTCTCTTTGAACATTCGATAAACTTCCTCTGGGGTGTAAGCCCCACAGTGTGTGTTGGGGGAAGCATCATGCAAGGTCTCAGGAGGGCCTCTGCTGCCCAGCTGTGTGCCTGACCCCTCTGAGCCTCGGTTTCTTCATGAGTAAAGATTACAAGTCCCCCCCCAAAAAAAAAGATCACACATCTCAAGTTTGCCCTGGGGACTGTGAAATTAACCAGTACCACAGAGTACAGTGTTCAGTTTCAGGAGAAACTCAGAAATCACCAAACCACCTAATTCAAGAGAACTGCAGGTGATTGTCCTAACCCTGTAATTCAAAATTGGAGGGTTTTATTATTTCTTTGAAACTTTTTTGAAATAATTTTAGACTTAAAGAAAAATTGCAAGAGTGGCATAGCGTCCCCGTGTGCCCTTAAAAGGATGCCAGCTTCCTTCATGCTTACGTCTCACATTGGCCTGGGACAGTTGTCAAAACCAGGACATTAACGTTAGCACGGTACTAACAGGCTTCGTTTGCATTTGCCAGTTTTCCCATTTGGGGATTTACTTCGAGACTTTGCAAGGATCCTATGTCTCCTCAAACTTTTGCCGGCTAATTTTAGTATCTGTTTTAGCGTCCCAGGGCTGCTAAAACAAATTACCCCAAACTTGGTGGCTTTAAACAGTAGGAATTTATTCTCTCAGAGTTCAGGAAGCCAAAAATCCAGGTGTCGGCGGGTTTGGTTCCTTCTGAGGGAGACACTGCCGCTCGCCTCTCGCCTGGCTGCTGGCGGTTGCCGTTAGTCCTTGGCTTGTAGACACGGTGCTCCAGTCTCAGCCTCATCTCCACATCCACCTTCTCTGGGTCCCTCTGTGTGTCCTTCTCTGTATTTTATAAGGGTGCTCATTGGATTTGGGGCCCACTAATTCACCGTGATCTCATCTCGATCCTTAATTACACCTGCAAAGACACTGTTTCCAAATAAGGTCACGCTCTCTGGCTCTGAGTGGACGTGGATTTGGGGATATTCCACCCCCTGCAGTGTCCAGTGGTGAGTCTTGCCTACAACAGTTGGTACTGTGGTGTTTGCCCAATGGTTATTTTGTATTTCTCTTAGTCCTTCTATATTTTCAAAAATGTGTTAATCAGGCTTCTTCTATAAAAAAAACATAGCTTCTCTTTTCAATTAGGCCGCAAAGTTTGCCAGTAACGAACCCATACTCTCCAGTTTTGCTGACACAGAGAGAAACACAATTTTATTTTTAGAGGCAACACAGCTTGGTGGCCAGGAGCACAGATCCTCAAGCAGAAGGGATTGGTTTGCATCTCAGCTTCGTACTTACTAGCTCTGTGACCGTGGGCGAGTCATGGAATCCTTCTGTGCCTCCATTTCTTCATCTGTAAAATGGGAACAATAATAATACCTACCTCAGAGGGAGACTGTGAGGACTCAGTGAGTTAAAAGGCACAAACTACTTAAAGCTGGTGCCCGCACTTAGGAAATGCTCCCTATGCCTGAGCTGCTTCTCTGGGATGATCACCACCGTCTTCATCATGGCTACTGTCACACTGAGTTACTCTCCCTCCAGCAGTCTGTGATTGTGTCCGTGGCCCCAGGTCACATGGCTGGGACAGTCTTGAGCCCTTTCCTCTTCTCCTTTCCTGATTCCTTTTAGCACCCCCCCGCCCCCCCCCACACACACACACACAAATCACATTTTGACCAGGAAGGACCAGGTGGTCACACCCTTGTCCCCTCCTCCAGGCTCCGGATGGTGGAGACACTGAGCAACTTGCTGCGCTCCGTGGTGGCCCTGTCACCCCCAGACCTCCTCCCTGTCCTCTACCTCAGCCTCAACAGCCTTGGGCCACCCCAGCAGGGCCTGGAGCTTGGCGTTGGTGACGGCGTCCTTCTCAAGGCAGTGGCCCAGGCCACAGGTAAGGGGGGCTGTGGTGGAGGGACGAGCGGGAGGGAAGCTCAGCAGGAGAAAGCTGAGAGGTCGGGAGGACCTGAGACACCCGGGGGGAGAGAGCTGAAGGCGGAGCGAGGAAGAGGCCAGGAGGGAAGAGAACCTGATGGGGACAGATTTGCAGGGGTGTTGGGGAGAGCACGTGGGGTTGTGATTCAGGTAAGGGAGGACCAGGCCTGTGTTGGGACAAGGGCTGTGGGGAAGAGGAAGATGCTGAAGGCAAAGACAACAGGACTAGGGGGCTGGGATCAGGGTTGGGGCTTAGGGAGGTGGCAGAGGTCCTAAGGACTCTAAAGGACTTTAGCTGGAGGGGCTGAAGGGTGAAGAGGGGGGCTAAACGGGCAGGGGCCGAGCCGCCTGAGCAGGGTGGAGTGGCTTGAGGCTGGTGATGTGGGCAGCCGCCTGCCACAAGCCAGGAGTGCCTGATGCTTGCTGTGGGGCGGCGGGGAGCCACAGAAGGATCAAGAGCAGGTAACAGGCAGGGTCAGCCTGTGGAGGATGGATGGGAAGCCAGGAGGCTGGGGAGAAGGCTGAGGGCAAAGGTGCAGGGGGAGAGGAGCTGGGCAGGGAGTAGGAGAGGGCAGGCGTGGAGAGAGACAGTCACAGGAGGGACCTGCCAGATGGTGGGGACCCTGGTGGTGGGGGTCAGGGTCAGGTACTGCAAGGGGAGCTAATCATTCCAGCCTGGGACCAGGCACGGGCGGCCTGTACCTGCAGGCCCTCCAAGGCCATCCGAGAAGTAGGGACATATATGGGCCTGAGCTCAGTAGATCTGGATCAGAAACCGGGGTTTGGGTATGGTCAGCTCAGGAGGGATGACGTAAGCGCTGGCGAGTTTCCACATGCCCGGGAGAGGATGCACAGGGAGGATACAAGGGGCACCTTGGGGTTGGGCCGTGGGGAACACTGACATTTTAGGAAGGAGGGGTTCCAGGGCTTCACGAGAAGACAAAGGGACTGAGAAAGACCGACAGGGTCATGAGAGCCAGAGGAGAGGAGACTCAGAATTTTCTTGCCGTTCACTCAAGATACATTTATTGAACGTGGACATCACACCAGACCAGACCCAGGGCAACCGGTGTCTGTTACAGCACTCTGAGCTACGAGGAACAGGAGGCCCAAGTACACTGGCTGAAACTAGGATCTATTTTTCTCGCTAAAGAAGTTGCCAGTGTTGGTTCCCTGCCAGTGAGGCCATCGTGGCCAGGGCCTTTTCTGCCCTTTGCACTTCTGTCTTTAGCACGTTGCCTTCATGCTTGTCTCTGTGCCTCCTGGTGGGTCTCATGGCTGCCCAAGCCCAGGTTTGTTGTGAGTCGTTCACTGTTTTGGAAAAATCCCATCCGTTTTGACACGCAAGTCGATACGTCACACACACACGTTCACACGTGTGGCGGTCTCACTCGTGACAATTCCACTTCAGGCACCAAGTCTGTCCCTTTTGTTGTGTCTTCACCTGTATTCTGAGCAGTGGCCAAGCATCCGCAGACTGAAACGTGTGCTATTTTGTCACAGATTATGTTCCCGTTCTCTCTTTTCTATGTTAAAAGTTAGGGCATTATCTTGACGTGTGTTGGTAGGTTACATTATCCCTTCATTTCACTTCAGAATAGAAAAGATGAGACAAAATTTCTGTCGTGACCAGGGTGTGTTGGTTGTGATAGGTTGACAGATGGTCACTGTTGTCATGGTGGTCGAGTCTCCACCTTCCCAGCTCCTGCTCTTACACCCAGGCTGCCCCTGGGACCAGCTCTGGGCAGTAAGTAAGGCCAAAGCACGTCCCATATGTTTAAATTGGCGACTTCAAAAAGACGAGGCAAAGAGCATTGGTCACTGCTGGAGGATGTAAATGACCAGCTAGAGGAAAGGGTGCCTTGGCCTTCTGTCTGCTCCGTCTACACTCACTTCCCTGGTGATCTCATTCCATCTGCGGTTTAAATCCCGTCTATGCCCTGACGACGCCGGCCCAGGTGTCTTCCTTGAGTGTGGACGTGTTGGGCAACTGCCTGCCTCACTCCCTATGGATGTCTGATAGGTTCCTGCCCCCAGCGTGGGGGAGACAGTCACCGAGCCATCTCACCACGTGGGTGAGCGTTAGGAGTGGCAAGGTGAGGGGACTCGCCACAAGCACACACAGCTGGAGAAAATGCATCCAGGGCACCAGGGAAGGGAGACACACAGCCAGAGTTGTCACCCTCTCCACTGCCACCCGCTGTCTCCCCTCCAAGGTCGGCAGCTGGAGTCGGTCCGGGCTGAGGCGGCCGAGAAGGGCGACGTGGGGCTGGTGGCCGAGAACAGTCGCAGCACCCAGAGGCTCATGTTGCCGCCACCCCCACTCACTGCCTCGGGGGTCTTCACCAAGTTCCTCGACATCGCCAGGCTCACGGGCAGTGCTGTGAGTAGGGGTTCACCCCGTACCCCAGGCGGCTCGGGGACCTGTGAATGGCTCAGCTATTTGGGCTGGGTCCCTTCAGCTCTGCCTGTGGGGTGCAGAGCTTCCTTCCCTCCTTCCTGCGCTTGAGACGCGGGAGTCTCCCCTGCAGATTCTAGCACCTCATGCCGTGCCTGCCGCACGACAGGACTCAATAAATATCTGCTGCATGAAGGTGGGGAGGGACCTGCCCTGAGAGCTGGAGGCCATGGGAGCTGGGACATGGGGGTGGGGCGAGGCTGCGAGGGGTGGCTGGGAGGGCAGGCGCGGTCCCTCCCCTCAGCACCAGGCACTGACTGGCTTCCCCTACCTCCTCCAGTCCACAGCCAAGAAGATGGACATCATCAAAGGCCTCTTCGTTGCCTGCCGCCACTCGGAAGCCCGATTCATCGCCAGGTGAGCGTAGGGCCTGTGAGGCGGGGAGAGGTGGGTCTGGCGGCCAGAACCACCACCCTGACCCCCTTGGATGAGAGGAGCACAAGCCGCAGGCCCAGACCCTGAGGGGATGGGAAGAGAGCAGTTTGCTTTCACAGCTGGCTCCTCCCTTGGTGGCCCTGGGAAGAGAAGGTCCTCAGCTCCTGGGTGGAGCGTGCTGTGATCGGCTGCTGATGTCTGCCCTGGCCTGAGGGGCAGCACAGCACAAAGCCAGTGTTCGCCGTGACCATGGGAACACAGCCACCACGGACAGCCCACGTCATGGAGCATTTCTAGTGTGTCCTGTGCCATGTGCTTCATCCTGCCAGCTCCTCCCACCAGCTGCGCGAGGCAGTGCCCTGTTGTCCTCACCCTCAGTTAGAAGGGGAAGTGGAGACACAGGGAGGTTAAGCCTCCTTCCCGCAGCCACTGGCTCAGAGCAAGGCCTGTGCCAGGTCAGGTCTGACGGTCACATGCTGGACCCAGGCCCCTCTGTACCTGACTCGCCCTACCCGAGCCTCACCACCCCTGCAGGGCACCCGGTCCTGCCTGCCGCCCAGTACATGCCAGTGGTCGTGACCATTGCTGGCTGGCGTCCACTTCCTCATCTGTCAAATGAGGCTGTGTGATCTCTTAGGTCAGGCTCGGGAGATTCTTGGTTTTGAGGAGAAGGTCTGCAAAGCATCGAGGTCGGGGAGGCCGGAGGAGGCAGGAGCGAAAGGTAGAAGCGGAATTGGAAAGGTGCAGACAAGCCCACTCCCCAGCCTGCTCTCTCCCCAGGTCCCTGAGTGGACGGCTGCGCCTGGGGCTGGCAGAGCAGTCAGTGCTGGCCGCCCTCGCCCAGGCTGTGAGCCTCACACCCCCCGGCCAAGGTGAGCTCCTTTGGCCAGTCTTTGTCCCCTCCCTAGAGCAAACGTGGCCTTCCCCTGTCCTTCTCACAAGTCCACGCCCCACCCCTTCCCCACACAGCTCCTGCCACCCCAGACTCCTCTCCCCTGAGGGAAGCGTCCCTTGGGTCTCTGTTTACATTCCTTCCCATATAGCAGAGCACCCACTGTGGACCTGGCCTGGCCGAGGGGTCAGGCACATCCCAAAGCCTCTGGGGGTCTTTTCTTAGGTTTCCCCCCAGCCGTGGTGGATGCAGGAAAGGGCAAGACAGCAGAGGCCAGGAAGACGTGGCTGGAGGAGCAGGGCATGACCCTGAAGCAGACATTCTGGTGAGAGCCAGGGGCCCAGGTGAAGGGGGAGGGCCTGTGGCCACCAGACATTAGTGACTGTGGGACTGGTGACTGGCAGGGTGGTGACCAGACGAGATCGGTCCTGGGCACACGGGCGCTGACAAAGATCAGGAGGGTGGCAGGCAGCGAAGGGCCAGTGACCCAGGGAGAGGCAAAAGAGACACTGACAGCAAGTGAGGACAGCGGGCATCAAGAGGTCTGAGTTCAGGCGGGCTGCGTGTGCAGAAAGGCCATAAGAGACTCAGAGAAGGGCTGGTGGCTTGACGCATAGCGAGGGGTTGTGACGGTCACCGAGAGGACGTCCATGGAGTGATGGCGAGGGCTCCAGGGGAGCCACATGGGGAGACCTTGACCAGCGGCTGACGTAGCGCTGGTGACAGCGAGACGATGGGTGCCCCAGAGACGGTGTCTGAGGCGGAAGGGCCCATGAGCAGTCCCCCGAGTGCCCCGGGGGCCACCCTGGGTGCTGGACACACAGCAGAAAACGAGCCCTCGCAGGGCTCCCAGCCGGCGGGGTGGACACACCTCTGCCTGCAGCGGGGCCGACCCACTGCTGGCCTCGGCCTCGCTCAACAGATGAAATCGAATCTTTGCAGTGGAGCCTGGCCTTGAAAACCTTGTTTGCTTCTTTTTTCTTTTCTTTTTGTTTCAAAATGTTAAGGGGGTACAAATGTTTTTGTCACATGGCTTGAATCAGGGCTGTAAATGCACCCATCACCCGAATAGTGTTCATTGTACCCGTTAGGTGGGTTTTTGCCCCTCCCCTCCACCCCCCTCCCTCCTGCTTGATTCCCAGTAAGTTTTACTCCCCTCTGTGGGCTTGTGTGCCCCTCGGTTAGTTCCAGTTTATGAGAGTACAAGTGGTGTGTGTTTTTCCATTCTTGAGATACTCACATAGGATAATAGTCTCCAGTTCCTTCTAAATTGCTGTAAAAGGCGTCAGTTCATCCTTTTCATGGCCGAGTAAAGTTAAACACGACCTTCCGTGGTTCTCGTGTGTAGGCCGAGGAGAGAATCGCTGGTCTGGTGGTGACAAGACCACGGCACGCCCAGACTAGGGAAGGTGGAGTCGGAGTGATGGATAGTGGCGCGGGGGGAGAACACGGAGACAGAGTGGCAGGAGGGGTGGGGCCACGGTGACGGAGACAGGCGGGGCGTGCAGGAGCCCGGGCTTCTGGGCACGGGCTG